GTCAGCTTTTAAAAATTTGATATATAAAAATTTGATGTAAAAATTTGAATTCATTGATATACTAGGCTTTAGAAAATGGCAGAATTTTATTTTCTTATTTTTATTTATTTTTGTCTTTTTGAGACATGATTTCACTATACAGTTCAGCTAGCCTTGAACTCACTTTGTAACCCAGGTTGACCTCAAACTCATGGCGATCCTCCTGCCTCAGCCTCCCGAGTGTTGGGATCACAGGCATGTACCACTACACATTTGCAGAATTTTAAATCACATTTATTTAAATATCTAATTTTTTTCTTGAAAAAAGCTGAAATCACATAGGACTCAAGGATGTTTCTGAAATACCAAGAGACCATGGTGACACAGTTAGGACAGAACTGAAGAGGTATCTTTTGGTTATAACCTCCTAAGCTCCTCCATTGTCTGGAGGGAACCACAAGTCTCTTCAGTGTTGATTGTTGTTTGCTGCACAGGATTTACATCATTACTGTGAAGAGACAATGCTATAACCAGGCCACTGGCCAGAACCCTACAATCTACAGGTGCCAGGCATTCTCTTCTGCCTGGACAACGTCCTCCCATTGAGTGCTCCCCCTGAATTCAGAGAGCATTGTCTACCGTCTGACCCTCATGTGTTTTATCTCACCTCTGCTACTCCCAGCCCCCAACCACTTGCAGCCTTTCTTGAAAGGGATCTTGGGATAGCACAGGGTCCCATCCTATCATCCTAGTGGCTGATTGGTCACAGGATGGATCAGAACCAGAAAACTCCCCCTGCAGCATGATCATGAGAGACCTTTGTCTAGACCTCGTGGCACTGCAGATATAATTAGGATTAGATGCCAGGCCCACCCTTTCCTGGTGCTGCTCCAGTGGAGACCGCTTGGATTTGTGTCTGGTGGAGCAGAGCTTACAGGGCCAACACTCAAACAACAAACTTCCCAACGACCTGCCTGCCACAGTGAGAGTGAGACCAGGTGGGTGCCATTCATTTCGGGCACCAGAGAGCTACTCGGGCGGATGCTCCCATATACTGTTCCAGTGGCCTGTGTCTGTTCTCAGGGCAGGAGTGTATATTAGCGCACCAGAACTTGGGGTGTTCCAAGGAGCTGGCTCACAGTAACCTAACTTCTAAGGGCCATGTGAATGACCTGGAATGCAAAATTATTAATTTAACATTGAGCGGTGTTCCATTCTGCCACTGGTTTCCATCTGGCAATCAAGGAATCTTCTTTATTGCAATTGAGAATTAGAGAAACTAAGTTGAAACATGAACATTTGTGCCCAGAAGGAGACAAGAGAGAAATGTTGGGTCTAAGTGACGATGCTTGAACTGCCCTGACTTGCGTGTGGTTCTGTGATTGTGTGTAGCCTCCCTCTTTTCTGGATTGGGATACCTGTGTGTTCAGGGCCCACTTTATTTAGAGCTCCATGATTAACAGTATTTCTTGAGCTCTTTATGCCTTTGGTGGGGCTATACATATTACTGAACCAAACTTGAGCGATCGCAACAATGATTGTGTATTTGAAGTATAAAAGATACGAATTTGTTCCAGTTCTGACTTTAGAATATATTAACTGTGTTGGTTACTTTTCTGTCATTGCTGAGACAAAATACCCAACACTCAAAATTAAAAAAGGAAAGGTTTATTTAGCTCATAGTTTGTGGAGGTTTCAGTCTGTAATCAGCTGACTCCAAGACAGGGTGGTGTGGCAGAGTTCACGGCAACAGAAGACAGCAAAAGCAGCAAGAGCTAAAGGAGCAACAGGCAGGAGAGCACAGAGAAGATTCTTTCTGTCCCTCATCTTGTATGTAGGCCACCCAGTTTAGGGTGGGTATAGTGCTCACACCCATAACCCCAGCATTGGAAGGTGAATTCATCACAAATTCCAGAAGCCTGACCCCGTGACTGCATGAGGCTTTGGGGTGACATCCAGACATAAACTGTAGCACTAGCCATGTGACCTTGAGAAAGTGACTTGACTTCTGTAGCAAGTCTTTGTCTAGTTGTTGGAAACATGTGAATAATAGCAGCTTGGGGAGAACTAAGAGAAATGTGCAATGTTAGATTGTTACGGTTTAGATGGAAAAGGTCCCCCAAAGTTCTATGTGGCAGGTGATTGGATCACATGGTTCCATGTGCACCGACAGATCCATCCACAGATGAGCTCAGTAATGAAATGTGCTCTTAGGAAGTGGGGCCTGGCTGGATGTGGGTCCCCGGGGGTTTCCGGTCTGACCAGAAACATGTATCCAATCTCAGAATCCTTTCTTTGTTCTCTGCTTTCTGGATGCCATGGTTGATGGTCGAGCACCTTTTCCTCGGCCCAGCCCCTCTGCCATCCTCTTCCTGCTTTGGGACCAGCTGACCACAGACTGAAACTGTGAGACAAAGCAAACCTCACCTCCTCTGAGTTTCAGGTGTCAGGCTCTGTGTCCCAGCAGTGAGAAAGTGACTAAGGCAGCCTAGTATCCGGGCCCGTGTCAAATCCACTTGTGATGAAATAGAAGGAGCCGCCCAGCTCGCTCTGCTTTTGAGGGCTTCTGTGCCTCTCTTGCCATTTGGATCATGCCTTTGCTGCACCCTGTTAACTCAGAGGTTTGCAGAAGGCTTCTTGCTGCCTTCTCTGCTGACCCCACACCTGATTCTGGGGAACACTGGGGCCACCAGGGGTGAGCACAGTGTGTATTACTAGGAGAAGGGGCGACACTCCTGCCTGAACGGCTCCGCCTTCCTGTCCTGCACAAGAGCGATCCTGCACATGGGGTTGATTTCCGACTTGTTTCTATCTCCTCTTGGGCCATCTTCTCCCTGTTAGCTGCCTGAGCCTGTGCGTGGTATTAAGGGACAATTCTTTCCAATTTACTGCTGATTTGCTGGACAAAGAAGAGTTGGACCCGCCTGCTGCTTTACTTTGACCCATCACATGACTCCTTTTCTATTGAAAAGGAAGTCTCCATTTTTAACCTATGACACACTTTGGGTTGTTGTTAGGATGCCCTGGTGCTACAGTGCTGGTGTCAGTTAGCCCAGATGGAATAATTTGTCAGCTCTAGTGTGACTGTTTTTCTAACTGAATGTAAGCTTCTCAAAACAGTGCAATGACAAGAGCACGGGGTGCCAGGAATGTCCCAAGAACTTGCCATGCTGTGGTTCATGGTGCCATCTCAACCCTATGATGCAGATGCTATTAATAACCCCTTTGACATGTGAGGAAGTGTCACTTGTTCCAGATCTTGCAGCCGGGAGCCAGATCCAGTTGTTCTAGATTCAAGAGTTTGCTCTCAATCAGTGCGTGCTCTGCTTTTTGGTCAAAGATGGCCGCCGCTCTCCTCTGGCCTCTCTGAATGCCTCAGTTCTGGATTTTCTGGAGCTGTCTTTCTGGATTTGCGTTCTGGTCCCCTTTGCCCTCTGCAGCTGCAGTGCCCTCTGACCTGGGTCATGCTTTTGTTCGCCTTCCAGGGTGAGACACGTAGTAGCAGCCACGGGAGCTCCATGGGAAGGTGGGTGGCATGTGTCCCAGTGGTGGCAGTGAGGGAGGGGGGCACAGTTGCTTTTTTTCTAGTGGTTCAGTGAATGACAAACAGACGGACACTTATCCTCAACTGAGGTGCAGAGAGGGGACCTCTGTGCTCCTCTGCATGGTTTGGGATAGAAGTTCTCTATAACCAGTGACATGCTGGAGGGCAATTAGCCCAAAGTAGGGTCTCCATCCTTGTCTTTTGATCAGATGGTCCAGTGGCTTCTCCAAGAGCTTTAGATGCTAAACGAATGGGTGCCACCCTCTCTCTCTGGGGAGACTCTCGGGCACCAGCTGAGCCCTAAGGAGCTGTAATGGCAAGATTCTTGCCCCAGACTTTGAAGAAAGGCTTCTTGATGTTCTTCAAAGACACAGAAAAAGGATCCCCAGAAAACATGATGAGAATTTCCCACCTGAGCTGTTTTCCCATAACATACATCCAGTGGCAAGTTCTGTTACTTCAGACACAGAGAGAGGAGATGCAGGGGTGGGAGAGAGAGAATGAGAAAGAGCTAGGGGAAAGGAGACAGAGAAAACGCGCTGACAACCTTTGCTCCCGCAATGCCTCGCATGCGGTGGGGGTCTCGTGTTCTATCCTGCCTGGCAGTGACGGCCCTTGGCCGAGAGCATTGCCTCAGGGAAACTTCCAGAGACAGTGCTGGACCTGATGGGCTAATTCCACCTAGAGGAAACCCTTCCAGCATTGCCAAATAGGGCCGTTCCCATTCCAACTGCCTGCGTGGGTTGTTCCCCCACGGTGTGTGAGTCATGTGTGAACACACCGGCCAGATATTTCCAGCCAGCCAAACCACCAAAGGATTCATTTCCTATAAAAGACATCTGATTCTGGTGTTGAAACCAGAAAGGCAGCATGGGCTTGCCAGCGCGGGTTCCAACCCTTGCCCTGCTGATCGGAATTCCGTCTCTTCCTCTTTCATGTTTATTTCTGCAGCACATTTGATTTAAAAATATCTTTAGAGATCACAACTCTAAAATCACAATGGGCAGAATCAGGATAAGCCACACAGACCACGGGTCTGAGTACTCCCAGGGTTTGATCGTTTCCCCTTGCTTGATACAGGGAGGCTATGGAAACGGATGCTAACAGCACCCAGGAGTTCCTTTCTAGGTAACAAGATCGCATCAGTGCTGTCTGATTGGCTTTCAAAGACGGGGGGGGGGGGGTTTCGGGCCTTGCTTCCTACTTACAGAGGTAGGAGACCAGACTCAGGGATGTGAGTCCCTTCACACCAGCACTTGTTGAAAAATAAGCCTGGCTGTTGTCGATTATCTCTATTTTTAGAACCCAATTTTAGGTCCAGCGATGAGGAATTCAAAGCACTTAAAATTCAGTCTCCTGGGTATGCGTTGGGTGAATCATTGGGCTTCTCTTTCTGGCTTTTCCCTCGCCTGTATCGTGGGACTATTCTTACCTGCTCCTTCGTGGTGGTGTGGCGAGGCTCAAATGAGTTAAGAACACATTAAATTATTGATTGTTATTGATTGATCCCACTGTATGGACAGGGATAGACATGCAGAGGAGGAACTGTGTGCAGTGGTACTCACGAAGATAGAATCAGAATCTTGAACAGAAGTACATAAAGAAGGGTGGATGGATTTGATCAGAGCATACAGTAGGCATGCATATAAATATCACAAGGAATCCCATTGATACAAACTGTTAATATGCATTGATTTGCATTAATTTAAGAAGCAAAAGAGATTGAGTTATCTGAATCGTTAAGCCAGAAAGTCACTAGTGATTTATGACTGTGACTTTGAATTCAGTGCATAGACTGCAGCTGGAAGTTTGGTTAAAAATCTGGATTCTGGCCCCTGACGTGCTATGGCAGGAGGTCTGGGTTCATACTATGAGCTCCACAGGGTGTGTGGTTGCCAGTGGTTGCTGGGTGGCCTGAGGGACAGTCTAGCGGGGTTCCCCTCACTGAGCCCTTGGGGAGAAGTCCAGGCAGTGACTGCTGGAATCAGCAGCAAGAAGGGAGAGGCTGTGTGTCACGTGCAGAGGGCAGAGGGGGTCCCTGGGCAGGGGCAGCTGAGGGCCAGAGGAAAGCGTGGCCACCCCCCTACTGGGGAAAGTTTAAGCCCCCTACGATACATCAGGGAGAGTCAGAATGCGGAAAGACACAATCTAGGAAAAGTGTCTGTCAGCTGTCCCCCGTGTTAGAAATGTGACGATGACCTTTGCAGTGAGACGTAGAGAGACATGATGTAGTCTTGGCCTCCGAGACCACTCTGTGTGTCCTGATTCCGGGCTGCCTTTGGAGCTGTGCCGAAATCAGACTTGTGTGAAGTCCTCTCTGCTCCTGCCGCCAGCCCAGCCACTGAGCTGATGACCTGCACCCCAAGAAAGCTTTCACTCCCTCCGGTGGCCGGAAAGGACACTCAGCTTCCCAGTAAAACCAGGGCTTCCTGCTGCCTGTACGAGGCTGGACCACATGTGAACCAGGCCCTTCAGGTGGGTTTACATTCTGGCTTACAAAGAAGATCATCTCAGGGGGAAAAATACTCTGAAGCTTTCAAAAAATTCTCTCTTCACTGTGGGGTACATAGTGACCCATTTGTACCGTAGAAGACCTGGGGATCCCGTGCACTGATGGGGAGGAAGATGTCTTTTCTCTAGGATAAGTGGGGAGTGGCGTTAAGGGTCAGCCTGAGATCGGTCTGTGATCTCTGCTGTCCCTCAGCTCTAAACCTAGCTGGAATCAGAAGCTCAGAGCAAGTCGAGGGGCTCTGCCCTCTTGTTAATTGGTTTTCTGGTTAATGGGAATGGTATACATTGGGATCCTCCCAGTACAAAACTGAATCCTACAGAAAGGAAAAAAAGTATGCGTGGATCTGACCTATGTCTGGCTTTTAATTTAAAGAATTAGACCAGGTGTAATGAGGACATGAACCTGTGTTGCTAGTACCCTGTGGGAGGCTGAGACAGGAGGATCTCAAGTTCAAGCTCAGATCAGCAAGACCCTATCTCAAAATAAACATAAAAGACAAGAAAGGGCTGGGGATGTACTCAGTGCAAAGTCCATAGGTTCAATCCCCAGTACCGAAAAAAGAAATTAGAGAATTTTTTCTGCGCAATGCTTTAGATTTTCTAAGACCCCGAGTCCATTATAAGCCCATTTAACTTTTCCGCCCCAGGTGAGGCAGGACCTACATTATTAAGTCCCTTTTACTTCAAGGCACACACACAGTTGCTTTGTGACTCCCTCCCAAGGGTTCCCAGAACAAGTTCTATGCTCTTCCCACCCTGTGGCCTGAGGTGGTATGCAGTCACTGCTGACCGAAGTATTCTGTGCAACGAGAGAAGTCTGGCAGTAAAGAGATCGATTACCCTGGGGTCTAGCACTCTACTAGCTTGGGGTCAGGCACTACTTGTCCTCAGGAAAAGCACCTCCCTTACCCAGCTGCAAGATAAATAATGTGAGTGTCTTTGATGTGGCATTGGCTGGTACGTGACACACAGCCCAAGAATTCAGAGCTGCTTTGTTGAGTAGGACTGAGATATGTTCCCCACCAAGCTAAACACTATTAAAATTCCCAAAAATTTACAGAGAAAGCATTTTTAAGATGAGACAATCCTGACCAAACCAGATCTCAGGCTGCAGCTAAAAGCAAAGTTTATAGAGAGCTCGAGTTCCTGTGGTGCTTTGCAGCATACAGGGCAGGGGACAGAAACAGTTCCTCGGTTCCTCATGGACTCTTACAGCCGCCCTGCTTACAGCCGCCCTGCGATGCAGGCACGATCCTCTTTCAGCAGATTGGCAAATGAATTTGAGTATGATGAAAAGTTTGGTGCGAGGTCACTGCTGGGAAGGGACAAATTTAAGGCTTCAGGTCTTTGGATTCCACATTCTGTGTCGAGTTTGGAATTATTCACTAAAACACTCAGAAACGACCAATGAATGGTCTCTGTGGGGTGTGAGTTTTATGCTCTGCGGTGCTACGGTGGGAAGCAGGCTGGTACAGAAACGGGTCCTCTCCCGCGGGGCTGCTGTGCGCCTGCACTGCTGTTCTGCAGAGTTTGTGGCTGTTAGGTCCAGGTCCCTCTGACGGATGCAAAGCAGGAAGCTAAGGTGTTTTTCACTGTCAACCAACGGGGCTTTGTCTTGAGAATCCCAGCTACACTTATCAAAACTCAGATCAAATTCCCATTCCCTAAGAAAAGAAAAAGAAACAGCCAACATTTACTGAAAGGACCTGGTTTCTTCAAAGATAAGTTGAAGAAATAGCTAGATGCATGCCCCATCACCATTCCTGATTCTCATAGAAAATGTGTGGAGAAGACGTTTGCAGGGCCACCTTGGGGAAAGGAGAGAAACAGGAATCCAGCAGCAGAGTGGAGCAGGACCCAGCTTTGTGGTTGTAACACGGGGCCCTTTTCTTTTACTTGTCCTGTTCCCATGCAAGCTTCCTTCTGTGCCCAAGGAAGGAGGTTAGAAGGGGACTGGGTTGCTTTTCACCTTTACCTGCCAGTGGCTCCCAGTCCTGGAACTCGTCTGACTTGCTGTCTTGACAAGCATGTAAGTAAACAAACCTGAGTAAACAAACCTGCCTGCCTGTCTTCCGGGGAGCCAAGGAATGTAGGCCACTCACCAATGGACACCCATGCTCAGAGAAAGGCAGGCGTCCTTCCAAAGAAGTGCAATTCATTAGCAAGCTGGCAGCAGTGACTCAGGGGAGGAGCGAATGGCACACTCTGGATGGGGACCCACTGTAGTAGCAAGAAACTAGTACCTGGTGGGCCTGGGGCTTAAACCTTTCTGGCAGGAGCATGCACTGGCCTCTCTTTCATGAATGCGGGTCATGTCCATCACCTTGGGCATCAGACTTGGGCGGATCGGGTGATGTAGCAAGGTTGCACGTGTTCGTAAGACGAAATGACCTTCCCATCCTTGATCTCCTTGGTGATGGTGCATATTTTAACCAGGATCGGGGACAGGGGTCCACAGGTCTTGCATGTCACAGTGGGGACCGAGGACGTGTACACCGGGGCAGGGCATTCCCTGACTTTGACATTGCAGCTCCCACCAACTGAAGGCTCAGATTTGGTGGCACAGGGATAACAAGGCAGCCTAAGGAGAAAACAGAAAGTTTTTTGGTACTGGGTTCAAATTCATGACCTTATGCTTGCCAGTCAGGGACTTGTGCCACTGAGCTAAATCCTTTTCCTAGGAGGCAACAGAATGTTTTTTCTGATGGAGGGAGGTTAATGATGGCCATGGAAAAAAAGTAGGGGTGGGGGCTAGGTTTTCAGTGTTTATCCTTCAGAGTATGTATTTTCATAAGTTTATTCACTCATTTTGAACAGAAGCTAGCAGAAGAAAATCAGGCTGATTCTCTGGAAAACAGTATGAAAGGTGAGAAGTGTCACATGATACACAGTCTCAGGTGGGTCGATGCCACAGCAGGGGGAGCCTGGGATCAGTGGTCAGACACAGGGCTGGCCCAGCTGGTCCTGAGCTTTGACTTTATCTGCAGAGTGGGCACCAGAGATCCCACACTCAGTGGAACAGTGGGTCAGTGCTAAGGGACCATCTGAGGGCCTTAGCAAAGGAAATTAACCAGGTATTGTTTCTTGTGGGGAGTTCTCTGATGACCGTGGGACATAAATCTTCTTTGGAACTGCAAAGGTAAGCCTGCCTTGGGTATATTAGTTTAGATGTCAGTTCATCTTGGGTTGGTTGGTTTATTATCATTTTTAAAATATGTAGAACACACATTTATAAAGAATGTGAAACACATATGTGTTCATGCTGCTACTGACCTCAAGGATCAGTACCCAGACAGGATTGGGGACTTCAGCCTTCCAGAGGGACCTGGGTCATCTTCATCTAGGACGGTAAGACATTCGTGTGTGTGTGTGTGTGTGTGTGTGTGTGTGTGTGTGAAACTGCACAGCAAGTAGGCATGTCTGTCTTTGGGGAAATGCTTTTTTCTCTAGTCATGTGCAAAACTCTAAGTCAGTAAACAGTTACAAAGAATCAGCATCACCAGGGTGCTGCTTGATGAAGCCATCTAGCTTAGCCTGCACCTCAAGCTTGGATGAAGTTACGCTTTAGGGACAGTGGACACCGGGGGAAGCAGAGGACACCTCCATCCAGGGGACCCCTTTCTGGCAGAGCACTGTCCCCCCGGAGGTGGGTGGCACTGGGGCAACTTTCTTGTGCCCGTGTGTTTGTTGGTTTACGTACGTGCAGTCCCAGCTCTCCAGCAGGCTGCGGTAGGTGGTGATCTCACACTCCAGCCGGGACTTGGTGTCCAGCAGGCTCTCGTATTCTTGGTTCTGCCTTTCCAGGGCGCCTCGGATCTCGGCCAGCTGACCCTCCACGCTGTGGATCAGACCCTGGATCTGGGAGAGCAGGGTGGTGTAGCGGGCCTCCGTCTCCTCTAGGATGCGTTCTTGGGAATCTCTCTGCCATGCAGGGGGGAAAGTCCAGTTAATAACGATGACTCCTTTAAGTCCAAGTCACCACTGAAGTCATGTCGAACGAGAGTTTTTTGGTGACAGTGTAAATGGCTCTCTAAGCCCTTATATTGCATCCAACCCAAACAAATCCAAGGGAAAATCATCGATTATGCCAAAGCTTGCTTTCCTTTATCCCCTCTCTTTTCTTTCTGATCAGCTGATAATCTCTCACCACATTCTCCAACTTATGAAAGAAATTTTTGATCTTGTAAACATCCAAGCATTAAAACACATCACCCTGACACCTCATTCAATGACTGTTTGTCCCTTAAAGTAAACATGAGCAAGGCTTAGCCAGACACACTTCCTCCACAAGGGCTATTCCTCCACGCGCCAAATATCAGAACTGAAACTTTGAGGAGCAGTGTTCTTTCCTGTGCTGTGATCACTCTGTAAATTTATGGCTGACAATGAGACTTAGGTTGTAATAACTTGATATTTATCACAGTTCTGATAGATAAAAAGCTGAGGTTCAAAACGTTAAATGGGTTGCCCAACGTCACTCGAGTGTCCTGTGATGCCACCCACTTGGGGGCAAGGTCTCGTTAATGCCCTTCTCAGCAGGGCTTTGAAGTCACTTCCTGCTGTAGAGAAGCAGTGTAATCAGGCAGCAGTGCTGCTGGTTTCGGAGTCTGAATTCTGGCTCCAATTCTGTTTCTTCTGCGGTACTGGCTACTTAGTGGTGTAATAATTCAGTGTCTTTCTTCCCTGTACCACAGGTGAGGGGGCACTTATCTTGGATTTGTCTTGGGAAAGATCACTACAGCTCTTAGAACTTCGCCAGTAGATTTGGCTGATACTTATGCAACCTCCCTCATAAGACTGTTCTATAACTATGATATCTCATGAAAATGCTTTGCATATAATAAAATGCTGTCCTAGTGTTCCTCAAGGTGTAATCTGTGCATCATCATTACTGTGAGATGCTCGTAGAAAAAAAAGTGTCCATAGTCAAGTAAGTTTGGGAATGCTAAATACAATCTGGCCTCTGCTTGTGGATTCCTGGCATAATCAGCTTACAAACGGGGGCCCAGCAAGCCACCCCGTTTAGCCTTTGTGGAACCCAGCATTCTTGGACTTATTTGACTATGAAGTCTTTTCTCAGCTATGGACTCTTTGGCAGACAAAGGTCTGTGGTTCCCAGGCACACAGTTTGGGAAACACTGCAAGACACATGTGTCTGGGGCTGTGTTGGGCTCGGTCAGCTTGCTGGGTACCATTCGGTGCTGGGCCTGCCGTTCAACCTCCAGGGCGGTCAAGGTGCGTCTCAGCTCCGTGAGCTCTGCCTGACAGCACTGTTGCTGGTGAGCTCGGGCTACCACCTGCTGGCTCAGCTCCTCCATCTGAAATGCAAGGGCCACAGCAGTCACGGCAGGAGGACATGGCTGACGAGAGGGTCCCTGGGAAGATGTCAGCTTAATGCTCTTCTGTTCTCCCCACCTGTGCGCTGAACCACTGTTCCACGTCCTTACGGTTTGTCTCCATGATGGACTCGTACTGACACCTCATTTTCTGGAGAACTTGGGTTAGGTCCACAGAAGGGGCAGCAGTCACTTCGATAGTGAGTCTGTCCCCAAGCTGACTCTGCAGCGAACTGACTTCCTAGGGGAAGACAAAGAACGTGAGGTGAGCAAGTGAACGGGTGACCCCCACGCTCTCATTTCAGCCCAAAGGCAATATTTCAGCTTCCCTGGGCCTCCATGGGGCTCACAATAAAGGGCTACCGGTTCACAGGTGTTGCTGACAGGCTGTGGGTGAGTGAGGGTATCTCAGTGGGCTCAGGTATGTGGCAAAAGAATGGACAAATGCGATCAGAGCTTCCAAAACTTTAGGCCATTTTTAGGGGTGGGTGATGGAAGACCCAGCCCAGAGGAGGAAGGAGGGATTTGTCACAGGAGGCCACAGTCTCTGTGATGTCCATAGGGACTTGTGTCAATACTGACTTGCACCAGTAGGAGGTGGCGGAAGTCTGTGTTCAGGGGTGTCTAATAATAATAATAATAATAATAATAATAATAGAATGGACTACGGATACAGATCAGTGAGACAAGCGCCGGCCTGCAAGTGCAAGGTCCTGAGTTCAATTCTCAGTATCCAAAAAAGAAAAAAGCAACCTTCTAAAAAATGATGGGGAGATTTGTGAGGACAGGAAAAGCCGGACAAGGGAGGCTTTGGGGTCCATCTGAAATGAAATGCATGGAATCTGTGGTGCAGAGAGCGGCAGGAGGTGTTGTGAGCACATGCCCTGGGTCAAGCAGAGTTGAAAGGAAAGGGTGCTGCTTCTAGAAGCTCCATTGTGCCGAGGTGCCCGACCTTTCCCTCACCTCCTCGTGGTTGGTTTTCAAGCAGAGCAGCTCCTCCTTCAGGGACTGGACTCGCACCTCCAGGTCAGCCTTGCCCAGCGCCAGCGCATCCAGGATCTGCTGCAGGGCATTGGTGTCTGCATCCACAAGCTGCCGCAGGGACACCTCGGCTTCGTACCTGTAAAGGCCGGCCGTGAGAGGCGTCAGGAAAGAGCTAGTGCACGTGCAGCCATGCAGGACATCCTGCTACATTTCCTCTGGCTCTGCTGTCTAGTGTGTTCTAACGAGGGCTTTGTACTCTTGGGAAGTGAAATCAGGTGATGAATACTGTAATGTAGTTCTCATGCCTGAGTGATCCAGAGAAATGCCACTTCCAGCGAGGAAATTTACTCTCCTACCTCTGCCCCTGGATGCAGTGCAGAGTGAAAAAGACTTGAGCCAGGACTTAGCAATCCTGGGTCGACGATTTGGCCTAGACTTAAGCTAATCTATGCCTAAGCAGCTTCTCTGCCTACCCACAATTTTCTCAACTTCCATAGCATAGAAACCCTCCCTATTTTACTGAATTCTCTTGCAGGTAATTAGGTGGGTCCTCATGCTAGAACTCTGGGTACTGTACATGAGTGAGGACTGTGAATCTTTTTTTCTTTTTTGGTACTGGGTATCAAACTCAGGACCTCACGCTTGCCAAGCAGGCACTGCACCACCCAGTTAAATCCAGCTCAGGACTGTGAACCTTCACCGTATATGGAACCTGATGGTCTCTCCAGGGCAGTGCGAGCACGCCCGGGAGCAGGAGATGTGGCAGATGCGGGGTAATCCCTATGGCAGTGCTGAGGTCAGAATTGGGGTGAATTTTGTCATCCACGACAGTGCTGGGTGGTGGGCTTACTTGGCTCTTAAGTCATCTGCGGTCAGTTTGGTGTTGTCAATTTGTGAGACCAGCCTGGAATTCTCAGCCTTGGTGCACAAGATCTAGAATTAAGAAATGGCACACACAGGTGAGACAGACACCAGGATCTCTTTTAAGAACCAAGCGGCTTGTGTGTGTTTCCGCCAAGCGGGGAAGGCTCTGGTAGAGTTTTCATGGGTCCCTAGGGCAACACTTAAAAAGCTCAGTAAACTTTGGAAAACCAGAGTTCTTGCTATTTTCTTAAAGGATCAGCAATAATCACTTAAATAAATAATGTATGCATGCCTTCCTGTTAAACTGTAAAATCTATTCTAAATTTACCTAATATATGCTGATCTGGTAGACTGGAAACTCCATGAAAGGAGGGCGTTTCTAGTTTATCAACATTTTTGAACATTCTGGAGCGATGGTGTGGAACATTGCAGATAATACTCAGCAAGTATTCGCTGAGCAAAGAAAACTGATTAAATCCAGATATGTAGCAGCAGCATCTCACTCTGCACTGGACTCTTAGGTTTGGTGTAGAAACAAACTTTAAAAATGTGAAGATGATAAAATTAGCATGGAAGGAGAAAGAGGTGGTGATGGTTGCAAATGGCTTAAAAACTAAACTGTCCAGAAATATATGAGGACAGAACTTATTTTTTCAGAGTCCAGTTCTCCTATTTTCATTAAAGAAATGATAGCAACTGGCTGTTGACATGTTTTGCTCTCGAGCTGTCTAGTTATGAACGATACAGCCTATCTCTAGGAAAGTGAAACACCTTAAGTCTGAATGGTACCTCAAGATGATAACTCACTCAAGAATTTGTCCAATTCTTGCAAAAATTTTCAGTAAAAGAGAATTAACATACTTAAAGGTTAGCCGATAATCTTGTTGGGACACCATCAGTTCACAACTCGATTAAATGGATTGCCAAGAGTCTTACCTTCTGCTGCAGCTTTTCGATGGTGGCGAAGTAGGACAGGTACTCAGGACACACGGCAGGACCCTCTTGATCGCGCACTTCCCGGATCCTGCATTCCAGGGCTGCATTCTCTCCTTCCAGCTTTCGTACCGTTTCCAGATAGTTAGCAAGGCGGTCGTTCAAGAGCTGCATGGTCTCTTTCTCATGACTGTTGATTCCTTCCCAGTGCCAGGCACAGTTATCCAGACAGGGGCGGCTGCTAAAGCTGCTCATCAGATTGCTGGGGATGCAGCAAATGCAGAGAGTGGATTGGCAACCTCGGCCCTGGCCAGTCGGCTGGCAGCTGTTGGCTTCAGGGCCTCCATGATGGCAGGTGTTGTAAGAAGAGATGGATCTAGAATTTGTAATCCCAGAGCAGTTTTGGGGTGGAGCTGAAGGAGACATAGCCGCTGTGGAACCCTGGGTATCCATCGTGTGTGCCCAGCTCAGTTTATTTCTAAGTCTGTGGTCACTGGCTCCAGAACCCTCAACCGAGCTCAGACTCCAAGCCTGTTGGCTTCTTCCTCTTTGATGTGCTTATATAGCTTCTGCTCTAGGTGGGGTCACCACGCTGGCGTGTTTTCCTTTCTATGCTTGTATCGAATCCCAGAGGAGCATCTCATTAGTCTGCTTTTTTATTTGCCTGGCAAGAGTTACCCGTCTCATAAAAACATGCATTTAGATGGTTACTAAGTTATTACCCATCGCAATCTCCACTTGTGTCGGATCCAGGGCTTCACAGCGTGCCTTCAAAGGCGCCGTCATCAGAGACCTAACAGCATTTATGATTAAGCAAGTGTGAGTCTATCGGCTTCATTAAAGCCTTGGTGACCTCTCCACCCTCGATCCAGCTTGACCAGGCGTGAATCCCTCCCTCTTTTCCTTTCTTCCCCAGAACAGGGAAACTACTGAATCCAATAATTATTGAATAACTTGGAAATCAATATTGTTTTATACTACCCAAGTGATTCCTTCCCATTTTTACTCCTCAGGTATGGTGAGTACAGGTTAAGGTGTTTTATAACATTTTTAGGGCTCAGTGTTTGCTTGTGGTATTACATTAGCTTAATGTTTGCCACCGTGTTATCTGTGGAAAGATCTGTGTGCTCTTTCTAAAGAAAACACTTACTGTTTTGCATTTTCTTTAAGATCTTTTTTAAGAGCATTTATTTGTGACCCTTTACGGGATCTTTAGGGTGAAGCATTTTCCTGTCTTTCCAGGTTCTGTCTGTGTCTGCTCTGCCTTGGGGAAATTCCCAGAAAGCCTGTGTGTTAAAGACTGAGTCACCCCCTGCTGCTCTACTGGGATCCTGGGCCTTTAAAAGGTGGGGCCCGTGGAGCGGAAGTGAGGTCAGGAGGGGTTTGGCCTCCTGGGGTCTTGGGACTGCAGCTCCTTTCCCCTCTGTCTGCCTTCTGGCTGCCATGTGGTGAGTGGTTCCTGAGTCACACAAACCCACCATGAAGTTCTGCCTCACCACAGGCCCCAGAGCAATGGACCCGGCTAACCATGGACTGGAACCTCTGAAACCATGGGGCAAATAAACATTTCCTCCTCAGAAGGCTGACTAACACGCCATCCTTGCAAAGGCCCCTGGAGTCTTCCTCAAGTCACCTCCCTCTGAGACAGCCTCTGCCTCCCCTTACATTTTTAAGGATCTCAGTGTGTACGAGGGGTTGCCCGCATAATCCAAGATAATCCTCCTGTTCTAAATCAGCAACGTGACTTCCACTTCGTCATGTAGCTTCACACACATATTCATAGCTTCTGGGATTAGGACATGGACATTTTCCAGGGTAGTGGGCATTATTTGCATTCTATATCAATGGAAGGAAAAAAATTCCTTACAATACCACCAACAAATGTAAAATGTGCATGAATAAATTCAGTCATAAGGTTACAAGAAACATTTGAATAAAATGTAAAAGCATACCAAAGGACAGAAGACCAGAATAAATGGAGTGATATCATGTTCATAGAGGGAAATACAATACTAGTCATTACAAAAATGTTCATTGTAGACCAGGGATCTAACTCAGCAGCACAGTGCCTGCCTGGCAACTGCCAGGTCCTGGGTTTGATCCCTTATACCAAAGGAAAATAAAAAGGTCAATCATCTCTAAATTAATTCAACTGAGTCCATAAGTATATTAAGATCATCCCAAAATAGGTATTTCTTTTCAAATAGACAAGATAATTCTTAAATTTTTTAAAAAGAAAAACAAAAGGAAATAGCTGGGAAAATTCTGAGAAAAGTAGTCCTTCCAAGATATAAAGCATATTTTAGTATTTAATTAAAATATGATATTGATTCATGAATACTCAGACAAGTCAATAGGATGGCCTGAGAAGTTTAAAAAGTCCCAAGCAGATTGGAATTTAATATTTTATAAACAGGGCACTTAAAGTAAATAGGAAAAATGCAGATCATCAATCCCATACACTCTCAAGACAATTCTGTAGCATTCTTGGGGCCCAGGAAATGTGGAAGCTGTTATAGCTTGTGTGTGGATGTCCCCAAAAACCTCATGTGGTCATAGGTGGGACTTCATCGGAGGCGGCTGGATCTGGAGTGTGCAACGCTGGAACTGATTCAGGTGCACTGCTAGGATCAAGGGCACTAGCATTGTGGATGTGAGCGCTCCCTGCCTTGGATAGAATAAAAGCAGCAGAAAGACTTCATTATGATCTGTTGTTTGTCTGTTTTTTGCTTGTCTTCTGCTTGCAAGAGAACTGGTTCTCTTTCGCAATGCTCCTCACCAAGCACCCTGCCTTGGGCTCAGCTGATTATGGTCTGAAACCTCTACAGATTGTGAGCTAAATAAATCTTTCCCCCCTTTAACTTTAGGTGTCAGATATTTCATCTCAGCAATGAGAGAAGAGTAACTTAAGAGAGTTATTTATAAATTTTCAGCCAGAGGCCTTTCCAATAATAACTCTAAATTAAGAAACCATATAAAAAGTGATGTTTGACTGCATAAAAATAACAGTGTTTGAAATTGTGCTTGGATAAAAACCACAACCTAGAAAATAAACAGACAAGATGACAAGCTGGGAAAGAAAGGAAAATGAAGCCTGGTGCTTATCAACAAGTAGCTGAGAAAGTAAAAAAAGCAAGCTGCCACCTGGGCAGAAATATTTTCTTTCTGCATTATTTAATATAAAATATATCACACTTTAATGTATTCTACTTTATTGAAGATTTTATTCTCTTTACAGGTGAAACCACAGAAAGAATATACAGTCCACAAAAAATGCGCACATCAAGCAAAAAAAGACTTGCATAAATCTTTAAATACTAAATGTCTTGAGACAGCGTAAGATTAACATATGTTACCTTTGGCCTCTACAATTACGAGAGGAGCTCAAAGTGGTGGCTGTGAGCTTCCAGACATTTATTGGTACCAGGAACCACTGCTTGGGTCACCTGGTCAACGTGTCCACTGAGATTGCTACACTTGCATTTTCAATTTCTTCTTTAAGGGCCGGCAGTGGGTTTTCTGGGATACACAACATCCTTTAAGACATCCCAGATAAAAGTCTGCAGGTGTTACATTAGGAGACCATGCACCTTATGTAAGTTGTTCTTTTCCTCAAGTGTGTGTGTGTATATTTTTGCTTTTTGCAGATTCTGTATCTGACCCAGCAATTGCATGTCTAGGTACATGACCAAAAGAAATGATTGTAATATACCACATATCTCAAAAGATGTGTTCTGGAATACATAGCAGCCATATTCTTAGTAGAATCAAAATGGAAATAACCTGACTACTCATAAACAGGTCAATGGGTAGGCAAAGTGTAGCGTGTTTGTAAACTGGAACAGTACTAAACAGTAAGCAATGAACTCCTTGTTCTCATATTATCATGGGAGAATCTCAAGAACTTATCTGACTGAAGTCAACATACAGAGCAGTACAATAATTACATTTGTATTAACTCCAAGAGCAGGTGAGACTCACCCACAGTGTTGGATGTCAGGATAGTGTGGCCTCTCTTAAATAAATGAGATGATATGATGTTAGGGCTCCAGGAGGATCAAAACCCTCTGCAGAGTTTGAGACTGGGGGCTGAGACAAGGAATGTCTCTGGGTGGCCTGCATTTATTTTCAAACAAGGAAGGGGTTAGAGTGGAAAATGCAGGAAACTGAGCAGGATCTTGGGAGGGGTTCAAGGACTTTGCCAAGTAACAGATTATGTTTAGTTTAGGAGAACGATCATGTTAATTTAGGAGAAGATATCCAGGTTGCCTTTCACCTCAGGAGGACAATGCCTGCAGCTACAGTCTTTATTAGTTAATTGGAGTGGGAGCCAGGTGTTCTCAGCTGTGACCTTATCTTGCCCTGTGAGGCATCTCTTTGTTCTTGGTCAGCCATGCTCCGGCCATGTTGCAGCCCTGCACATGTGTTCAATTTCCAGCTTCAACTGCTCCCAACATGGGAGGCTGGGGCAGGAGGATTGTTGCAAGTTCGAGACCAGCCTGAGCTACAAAGTGAACTCACGGCTAGCCTGAACTGCAGGGCGAGACCCTGTCTCAAACTACCGCCCCCTACAAAGTTTAGTTTACATAGTTCATGGTGACAAACCTTTAATTTCTGGTAAGGTGTCATTTATCTGTCACAATTTCCATGACTTTTTTTTCTTTTAGAAGTTTGTCATGATAGGTCTTGGTGTGGAGTTCATTAGATTTAGCCTTTTAGGGAGCTGGCTTAGTTTCTTGAATTTGTAAAGTTTTAGTCTTTTACAAAACTTAGAAAAATATTTAGTCTCTCTTTCTTCAAATACAGTTTGAGCTCTGATGACAAACATAATAGATCTTTGATACAATCCTGAAGTCGATGAGACTCTTGTATCGTTCAGAGTATTTTGTGGGTTTTTTTTTCTAGCTGGGTGGCTTCTGCTATTCTGTTAAGGTCACCAATGCATCTCCCTCGGGCGTGTCCACCGGCCATTGGCCATTGAGTTTATCTGCTAAGGTTTATATTTTGGTTCTATGGCATTTTCCAGCTTTAAAATTCTCATGGGGCTCTTTGTATCATCTATTTCTTTGCTGAGAATTTGTTGTCATTTTCATTTGTTAAGGAGTTCCTCAGAGTCGCTTGTTGAATGACGCATTCTCAAGATAGCTGCTTTGAAATCCTTGTTGGATAATTGTAACCTTGGCCACTTTGGCACTGGAGTCTGTGGACTGTCTTTTGTTGTCTGAGATGGGCCTGGTTCCGGGTATGAAGAATGAGTTGTGACAGAGCTGCTGGGTCCCTGTCATGCTGTTTCAGCAGGTACCCAGGGGAGGGCGGACACTGCCCTGTGCTGCCGGAAGGGGGTGGAAGTCTGAGTTCTCAGTCATTTATTTCCTTTGACACCAAGGTGTGCCCCTCATCCATGTCAGGATGGCTAGGGCTTCAGGCTCCTCACCTGGCCTCCTCAGGTACTGTCTAGCTGGTGGCTAATTACTGCTTCTGATGGGCACCCTCGGACACTGCAGGGGTCCCTTGAAATTGCAGCCTGTGCAGCTGGCCTGGTGGGATGCCACTCCAGAGGGGAGAGAGGAGAAGCGCCTTCCTGCTGCAGCAGCAGAATCTCTGAGAAACTGGAGAGACCAGTAGGGCTCTAGAGATGCTCAAAATCAGACTGGGCCCCGAACCGAGGAGCAGTCCCGCTTTGTGGAGATACAGAAGGCAGTTAGTGATCCTGGCTGCTGACCTTATCTTAACCTTGAAAGAAAACACACCCTGTCCTCACAGGGTGCTAGGATGCTGGGGAGATGGTTTCCAACCCATTTGTTAGTGGTACTGTTGATGCACCCAGCCTTGCCCCTCTAAGGAAGGGATTCCCACAAGAGAGAAGCACTTGAAGGGTCTCCCTTATCAGTGGGGAAAGCAGGGGACTGGTGAGAAAGCCCAAGCCTGCATCCCTGAGGGGAGGGCTGCTCCAGGAGTGGCTGGCCTGGAGCTGGGAAGAGTTTTTTTTTTTTTTTTTTTTTTTTTTTTTTTTTTTTTTACTGAGGGACCCAGGGGCTATGTTTCTCTCTGAGCTCTGCTTTGCTAGGAGCAGAGTTGAGCTCTCCACAGAGCCTGCACTGACTCAGGGGTGGTTGGAATGAAAGTTTTGGGCTCCTCACTAAGCCTTCCCAGGCCTTTAGAACCCAAGCCCTGTTAGACGGAAATCTAGACACCCCCCACTTGTCCTTTCGGGGGTACATCAGGGGCATGACAAATATTTTCTCTGGTGCCTTGATGGGCGGAGTGGTTGTCATCCAAAGGGTTTCTGTCCTGCTGGGCAGCCCCTCTTCCTGCTTCCTAGCTAGAGAACAAGTCTCTTTTTGTGTGTGAGCATCTTTGCGGTCTTGTGTGGTTGGCTTTCCTAGCTCTTGTTCTGGGAGAGAAGAGGTAAAAAAAAAATTTTTGTGGGTCCCACCACAGTGTCACTCCATTTCTCAGTTTTTAATATTTATTTTATATGTAATTCCCAGAGTTTTCATCCATAGTTAACAGAAAGTAAAGCAATGTGCATCCCTTTCATCTTTCTGGGAATGGAAGTTTCTCTGTTTTGTTTTTTAAATATATGAAAGCAATTATTCTTATAAACTGAAAGTCCAAGACCAGATCAAAGGTACCTATGGCCTATCGTGCAACCACTGGAATAGTGGTCACAGTAAAAGTTTACATTTTTTATTAGGATTGAAAGTGTCTGGGTGATAGAAGTAGAAAAAATTCCACAAGGGTACTTGTGTCTAAGCGTGGTGATGTCTATGTGGAAAACCAATGGTGAGAATAAGAACTGGAAGTTTCCCAAAACACTCGCAATGGCTGTTTAGAGGCTGGAAGATGAGTGTTTTTCTCCCTTACTACAATTAGAAAAAAAAAAAAAAAAAAAGAACCTAAAACTCTTACAATGAGAAAATATCATTTAGTGTATTTTATTCCTAAATTTCCTCTGAGAAATGTATAGGCAGCTGCTTCTACGATTCACAAGCTTTTGTGTGGGTTAACTGATTTGTGTTTGAGCTCTGGAGAACATGTTCGGCCTGGATTTACGCACACCTGATCAGCATTCGTGTTTACACAGCTCTCCTGCCAGCGACGGCTATTACATTAACAACCGTGAGCCGCAAGCTATGAATTTTCCATGCAAAAGGAGCGAAGCACATTTTATTCCAAGGTTAGCAAGAAAGCTTTCTGGGCTCCCAGATGACCACAAAAGAGCTTCAAGGGGAAGAGGGGACGAATAGCCAGGGCTGCAGGTGCAGAGTCTTAGGGTTGGAGAGACCGCAGTCTGGTGTTTTCGGTTTGGCTGTCGCTGTTTGTCGCTGTCTGCGGCTCTGTTTTTGCCAGGGCTACTGGCTTCGATTTTTCCATTTTTCACGCACAGCAGTTTTCCACGGTGCAAAGGATGTAGGCCGAGCCGGGCTCACAAGGGTTGCCGGACGAGGGCATCACCACAGAACAGGGGCTACTGGCGAGCCTGGCAGGGGCGGGGGGAGAATGAATTTTACACTCAGCTGAGCAAGGCCACTGTGGCGGTTGTCATCCTAGAAACCCTGCAACTCCCTTCTGTGGAAATCTCTTTGCAGAACAGCTTTGGACTTATTAAAGCTTATTAAAGCTATTAAATCTTATTTCAACCCTGGGCTCACAGAGACACTTTACAGCAGCAGTGGCTTGTGAGTAACATTTTCTATGTTTTATTCATTTTGCAAATGTCCTGGGCACGTTCACTGTCACAGGCTTAGCCTCTGCCACTCTTCCTCCTCCTCCTTCTCTTTCTCTTCTTCTTTAAAGAAAACCCTCCACACGTTAACCTTGGTCAGACCTTGGGGGCCTCTGCATCAGCCTCTTTGGGGGAGTTTACTGAGGAACTTGCCTGCTGTCCTCCCTGTCCAGCAGGCGGCGGTAGGTGGCGATCTCCTGCTCCAGTCGGGCCTTGGTGTCCAGCAGCACCTGGTACTCCTGGTTCTGCCGCTCCAGGTCACATCGGATCTCCTCCAGCTGGGTCTCCACGTTGTCGATCAGGCCCTGCATCTGGGCCAGCTGGGTGCTGTACTGGGCCTCAGTTTCGGCCATGGTGCATTCCAGAGAGTCGGTCTGCAGGCAGAAGGCATCATCAGAAGGCCCCCGGAGCTCTGCCTCTGGGGTTCCCATTTAGTGCCTCTGACCTCAGTTTTATTCTGTATAAAATGAGGAAGGCAAAACACCTGGCTCATAAGGACTGTGAGGGCTAAGGAATTGGTACGTGTAGGCTTAGAGCTCTTCCTGGGAAAATTTTAAATGCTGTCACAGAGCCAGAAGTCACTTCCACTCTGACCACTGCTACCTGTGACTTCCCTCTGGAGTTTACAAAGGATGGCCAGCATTTGAGAGGAAAGTTTGAGGCTGGGTAGCAGAGACTGGTTAAAAAGAGAAGGGCCCTGGGGTTGAACCCTTAGGATTCAGCTTCTGCTTCACCTCTGGGGGTTGCAGGATTCCTCAAATCCTCAGCCTGGCCTCCGTGTTCCTAGTCCTAGTCAGTGGGTGCACACTGTAGCTCCCCTGGGAGGCTATCGTAAGGGGTGGGCTGTGTCTCGGCTCTCACGTGAGGGGACGCTCAGCTGTTGGCCACCTGAGTGTTCTCCTGGACCTCCTGCATGCACACCAGTGCCTGTCTACAGAGAGTGCTCGTGGTCCTGGCTGCTTGGTGTACATGGCAGTTGGTGGGGTGGGGCATGGTGAGGGGCTGGTAGAAGCCTGGGTCCTGGGACATTTTACCATCCGTGTAGGATAAAAAGCCTGAAAGCTATGCTTTGCTTTAGATATGAAAGAGACCCTACAACATGGTCCTCAATGAAGAGAGTTAAACCCACTGTCATGCCAAATTGCCTTTGGCTCCGAGAGCTCTCTGTCACTCTGCTCTGCCGCTTCTTTCTGTCTCCCCAGGGTGCAGCAGCCTCCTGCTCAGTCCCGGGAGGGAAGATGGCGGCCCTGTGGGACCTTGCAGGCTCTGGAGCTGTCACTCACTCTTGCCTCTAGCTGGATCAACAGCAGTTTATAGGAAAAGATTAGAAAAGGTCATCCTTGCAAGTGGGAAATCCAGCCTGGTCTGGGGTTCCGGCGGAGGGCATGGTTTCTCAGGGGCTGACCTTCCCGTGGTAACCCGACTGCTTTTTGCTACACACACCAGGTTCTGTTGCGCCTGCAGCTCGATTTCCAGCGTGTTGGCTGTGCGCTTTAGCTCCAGGATCTCCACCTGGCACCCCTGCAGCTGCTCAGCACTGGACAGCTGCTGCTGGCTCAGCTCCTCTGCCTGCAACACAGGTCCCTGTTAGAGAACCCCAGGAGGCCGGAGACCAGGTGCCCACCTAGCTGCGCTCAGGGCTAACCTGGGCCGAGAACCACTCTTCCGCCTCCTTGCGGTTGTTGGCCAGCACCGTCTCATACTGCCGCCGCATCTCTTCCAGGGCCCCGTTGAGGTCCACGGTGGGGGCCATGTCCAGCTCCACATTGAGTCGATCTCCAAGCTGTGCACGAAGCACGCTGACCTCCTGGAGGTAGAGACAGTGGACAGTGTACCGCAGAGCCAGGGAACAAACATGTCCATTTGATAAACATGGTGTCCTGTTTTGGTATTGGCAGAGTGGTTAAAAGTGTGGGGGTTTTGATTTACATTGCCTGGCCTGAATCTCTGTTGACCACTTGTAAACACCTCAGTATCTTCCTCTGCAAAACGGTTATGATAATTATACCTCTTCTGGGAGCTGTGAGATGCAGGAGGTTTGCTATGCACACACAGGGCTCACAGAAGTCACAGCAGAGAGCAAAGTGTCAGTAACAAATGTTCCAAGAGAAAATATACTTTGTTATATTATTCAGCCTTCACCAGTGTGGAATAAGCCTATTTTATCACTGAGAGCTCCTTTGAAGATAAAAATACACTATACATTACCCCATCAATTTCCTATCTTGTTTATCTTGTTTTTGGAAATTCTGTAGCTTTTTTTTCTCTTTAAAATAAAATTTTAAAAAATTGAAAAAATATCTTATAATTCAGAAAGGTTTGCAAATGCGGAATATTTAAAAACATGAAGGCAAACACTGCTCAAACCCATCTCCCTTGTCCGTGTTGATTAGGTCAATTTTCACAGCTTGTGGATTAGACGTAGTGGGGGAAGTAACGGCAGGAAGGGTGTGAGGCTTCTTCCTGTGGCACCAGCCTTGGGCAATGACACATGACAAATGTCACCTCTGGGCTCAGGCACACATGGGACGGAGCAGGCAGTGAGTGAGCAAGGAGTGGTCCAGGGTAAGCAACCTCCTCCTGCATTCAGTTCCCACACACAATTTGTAAACTGTCAGCTGGGCTTTGTCACTCTCAGCATCCTTAGTGACTATTTTCCTCACCTCTTGGTGGCTTTTCTTGAGGCACAAGAGGTCGTCCTTCAGCGATTCCACCTGCGCCTCCAGGTCGGACCTGCACAGGCTCAGCTCGCCCAGGATCCCCCGCAGGCCGCTAATGTCATTCTCCAACAGCTGCCGCAGGGACAGCTCGCTGTCGTACCTTTCGCAGCAAGAGAGATGCATGCAGTGCTTGCTCTGCTAGACATGGTACAGAGCTCTGAGTGGGGAACGTGCGCTCCAGAGAGGCCGTCACGCCTCTGCCTGCACCCCAAAGGATGCTAGGTTCAAGCTTTTAAAGCACGCACAGCTTAAAAATATTAGGTAGGGACTATTGGGGATGGAGAGAGTGAGAACATGCCTGAGAGAGCTCCACGGATCACTGTGAAGCTACAGTTGCGCGTACCTTGACCTGAAGTCATCCACGGCCAGTTTGCGGTTGTCAAGTTGCACAGCGAGCCTGGAGTTCTCCGCCTTTGTGCATAAGATCTGAGAAGCAAGTCGTTCCATAAGTAGACGCCCCTTAGAGAGAGGCCTACCCATGTCCTCCTGTGACAACAATGCCTCTCGTTCCCTTGTGCAAGTGTTTGTAAGACAGCACGAAGTTGCTCTCTCCGCACTTTTCTTACTAACAGGTCACTTCACAGAGAAAAGAGCCGAGCCAGTTTCGAGGCAAAGAGGTTTGCTTCTGATGTGCTTTAAATCTCACTACACTCCCAAGCCTTTGGATGCAGTTACGATTTTCTCTGTCCATGGTAATAGAAATGCACCAGTTAAAGAAGGAAAGGAATACTGGGTGACATTTAAAAGGTGACATTCAACACCTGCAAAGAGGAACACACACGTGCAGGCTTGTACCCAGCAGGGATGGCACCGTGCTCCGGGCAGAAGGGGTTTCAGCTATGAGAGTTTTCTCATTCTATAGAGGATAGAAGTCAAGTCTGCCCATCAGTGACTGTTTGTTGTCCCTTGATAATTAATGGCAGCCCTGGGCTCCTGCATGGAGCATTAGCTCTCCGCATTCTCCTCGCCTGTTGTTTATTTCCGTCAAGCAGCTCTGGCAGGAGGCCACACAGCAGCCCCAAGACGGGAAAGGGGAGCCTAGAGATACGGAACCTTTTGCTGGAGGTCTTCGATGGTGTCGAAGTAGCACTGGTAATCGGGGCACACAACCAGGGCATCAGGCTCGCACTGTCCTTGTATCTTGCTCTCCAGCTCTGCGTTGGCCTCCTCCAGGCAGCGCACCTTCTCCAGGTAGTTGGCTAATCTGTCATTCAGGAACTGCATGGTCTCCTTCTCGTGGCTGTTGAAGGCTCCGTCTTCACACCAAGGGCCATTCTCCACCAGGCAGCCACCGTCACAGCCCACAGCCAGGTAGCAGGGTGCCGGGCACCCCGGGGACAGGTGAGTCCCGGGGAGGAGGCTCGAGGCCTGACACCCAGACACAGGGCCAGCACTGGAAAGACGAGTGACTGCTGGGGAACAGGTCGAGGCGGGGGCGCAGCCTACATCTCTGGCACAGGACTCAGGGGAGCCACGCACCAGCGAACCAGCAGCAGTCATCATCGTCTGGGAGGCTGCGACAATCCGACGGCCTTGACTCCAGATGCCTGCTTCCCTCCGACACTTTTATATGGCGCCCGCATGGGTGTTTACGGAGGCTGACGGACGCTCTCGCCTCCTCCATGGGTACTGTTTGCAGCACACGTTTCATTAGTGTCGTGTATTTACCGAGGAAGTTCCATGCCTCGTAAAAGGATAACCTTAGGTTACTAAATCTGGACTTGGGCCATTTCCATTGGCTGGGAGAATAAAATACTTATTTCAGAAAACCTTCTCAGGAAGCATTGTCCTCTTGGTGAAATAAGGAACAAAGGAGAAAATTTGGTACAGCCGTGATTAAAAATGCAGCCCACTTCAACTAAGGAAAATAATACCCCATCAGTTTTGATTCTGTGGATTGACGACTTGTGTGTATCTTTAAGAGCAATGTGACAGCTCATTAAGTGACATTGATTTGTTTTCATTACCATTAAAGTCATTCTGATTAGCAGTCTTGGAGCTTGTTGTGGTCTTAAAGCAGGTGTGTACATGATGGAGGTACAAGGTGTGTTTGGCTTAAAGTGTGTGCCTGTGTGAGTGTGCATGTGAACTGTGTCTCCCTGTTTTCACATTGAAAAGTCACTTTACATAAGTGATGATCGACAGCTTAGATGATAGAAATTGGGGGGGGGGTCATGTTTACAGCATACCATCCCCCAGACAAGGAAACACTAGGCAGAGAGAAAAATAAACAACACTATGGATGGCCGTGGGCAGTGCCAGGGTTGTACATTGTGCGATATCCCCTGACCTCAGGACATTGGACATACATGTCTATGTTTGATCGCCTATGGAAACAAAGCCCAGACTTTTTATTGTGACAGATAAGGCCTTCTTCAATGCAGGCCTGATTAACCTATTGCAATCCAAATATTAAATATTATAATCCAAGTACTGTCATTCCCTTCCTAATCTTCCCCAAAACCCAGAAAGTTTTATTTGCAACCCCAGTGAAACACTATTGGAATCCTGGCAAGTTAATTCCAATCTACCACCTCCAATGCAACTCATGGGAGAGCAAAGATACCAAGACACATTCAAAGTTAAGGGCAGCCAAAGGGTCCTACTTCCGATCCTAATGAGGATGTGTGGATAAAGGCCCTGGTCCAAGGCCTCTCCCAGGACTGATTATCTCATGAAAAAGGGCATGGCTCAGGGATGGGTGACAGTGAGGATGGCAGGGATTATGTGAGTAACTTGAGCTGGCCAGGCTGGGAATAAAGCACCTCTGCAATTTGTGGGAAGATATGCAGACAGAGCAGTATGCATAACTGGACTGGGGTAGCATATGAATGAATTTAGGGGGCTGTTGCTTCGGTTTCTGAACTGAAACTGCAGCAACTTGCGTGCTTGGGGAGTCACAGCCCCTTACTGTGAGGCTCACACCCAGCTGACATTCCTGGAGTTGAGTGGCTCTGTTGTCCCTCTGCGCTTCAATCTGTTAGAGAGAGCAGCACGCAAGGAAACAGGAGGCTTCCAGGCTGGCCTCCAGGATTACACATCAGCACCTCAGTCGGTCTTGTCCGCATCACTGAGAGCCGCCTGCAGGGAGAAGGGAACAGCATAGTCCGCTGTGCTTGTGCGTATCAGCCTCTGGAAGCAAGCCTTGTCTTAGCTAGTGCTGCAGCAGCTGCTCTGCACTCGAGGGGCGCCCGAATCATCTCCTACGTTACCTTTCAAGGCTGCTGTTCTAATTTCTGTCTCACAGACCAAACTGGCCATTCTTCAAAATTGCTGGGTGCCATCCCCTCTGTCATTCCCTGCCTGATGAACTCGGGTGACAAATTCAACACAGATGTCACTCAGCTGTTTCCCAGAGACCCTTTGCGGGGGCCCCAGCTCTCTCGCAGCTGTCACATTGCTTTTGAACTCTATAGATTTTTATGTATATTGATTGTAGTTTATCAGTTAGATGGATCTTGTCTTCTTGTTCTCTACATGTGGGACATACATTCAATAAACCCTTAACCTATGTGCTAAAAATGCACCCACTGAGGTCGACTGTGGCTTCTCTTTTGATACACAATTATTTACAAAAGATTGACACTAAAAGAGACAAAAATTTGTGGAAGACAGAACCCTGTCCTACTGCTCAGAATATTTATATCCTTCACCCAGCTGTTAGTGCTTACCAGCTGTATTTTCCTTAGGTAGTTATTCAGCCCCTTCTTGGAAAACAACACCTGCCTTTTCTACTGTATATGCCTGTCAAATAATAAACAAGACATGTATTTCACTTAATAAATAGTAATACTTAACAGCACCTTAAATCCTCAGTTGCTGCATCTTGGACCCTCGTGACTCTACAATTATCAGGTGTGTATTCTTTTTCTTCTTTAATATCTTCCATGTACAGATAACTTTACATATGATTAAGTGCAGTTTTGGCCAGTGGGCACAGTTCTGTAATCACTGCCCTAGTTAAGATCCTCTAAGTCTCCGTAATTCTTTGGATAGCTCAGAACACTGATGATACCAAAAATCCACACTGAAGTAGAACATTTCAGAAACTGCAGCTGTGGAGAGCAAAGTTCGGTAGCTGTGTCTCTGCTTGGTCAGTACTCAGCCTCTGAAGGGGACTAGTGTACCGACTCCTGGTGCCTTAGATGGGCATTGCTGATTTTTTGATTTTGTGAACAGAATCACATGATGGGTGTGTTCTTGTGTTTTTTCTTCACTCAGGGCCATGTTAATTTATCTGTGTTGCTAAGGAATATTCCACTGAACCCTCAGGTTGTTTATTCTCTTTTGCAGGGACAGTTCGATTATTTCTTGTTTAAGGCTATTATGAACAAACATTCTGTACATTCTTTAATATATATTTATTAAATTCCTCTTGTTTAATACCCAGGCATAGAATTGTTGAGTCACTGAATAAGTGTATATTTTACAAGAAACTTCCAGGCTTTTTGCCCCAATCTGCTATAAATTTATATTTCTCAAATGACTATGTGCAGCCCCTCTCCTGGCCTTTTGAGTATGTTCATTGATAGACAACTACTCAATCTTTTGCCTGTAATTTTTTTTTTCTTTTTTCTTTTTTATCGGTACCAGCGGTCGAACTCACGATTGCCTGCTTGCAAGGCAGGCCGCTTATGCTGCTGAGCTAAATCCCCAGCCCCTTTGCCTATAATTTTATGCTTGGAATATTGAGTCCTTTGTTAGACATCTGTATTTTGAACATTTTTTCCTGTGATGTGCTTGTCTTTTTTATTTTCTTAGTTATGCTTGTAAAGTTCTGTTGTAGTTTCTCGTAGGTGCTCTGTGTCTCCTCTGAGGAACATCTGCGTATCACAAGACGCCTTGTTAGTTTATGGTTTGCTTTCTTAAATCTTCTGTTAGCTTTACAATTTTAACTTTGACATTTAGGCTACTGAAATACCTTAATTAATTTTATGGACGATGTCTGCAGTCAAGGTTTATTATGTTCTAGTCAACTGATCCAGGGTGACAACTTCATCAGAAGTCTGAGGACTGAGCCTGCCCAGGTTCCGGTCATTTTTCTCTATGGACTTTGGTTTGGGTTAATTTGATCCATTGACCTCATTCCTAATTGACAATGACCAATTTTCTACAAAGCCACTTTTGAATTCTTTATTTTGGATATTGTACACTTTATTTCTAGAATTTTCATTTATTTCTCTCATTTACTGTAAATAATTTAAATTTAATTCATTAAATTAAACCCTAAAATTACACTTTTCTGGTGAGATCCCTTTCCTTGCCCTTTCTCCTTTCATATCTATGCATCTTTCCCTTTAAGTCCTTGGAACTATTTGTAAGAAATGTCTGAATGTTTAGGGATCCCTGGAACTATTTTTATTCCCTACTTTTCCTCACCGTTTTTCTCTGATCTCCTCTTGATGCTGGGTGGAATCCCCTAGTTGCTTCACATTTCTGAGTTTATTATCATCCGCTGATCACCCTGGAGGGATGTTTTGGAACTCTTGCTTATGCGGGGCGTTGTTTGTTGTGACAGGGAGTTAAATCACTGCCGGATCCTTCTGCTCCTCCTGGGCTTGGTTCCAGGTTTGGATAGAGTGAGTGTCACTTAGTGTGTGCTGTGTTCCGGGTTGTGATCTTTATTCTTCTGACTTGTTGCTTCTGGGACATCAGTTGAATGCCTAGGGCATTTCGACCACAGCTCTCCACCAGTGTGTCTTTGACTGTGTCTTTGACAGTTTCTGTTTATCTTTTTTAGTCCTGTGGCAGCAATCTTGATGTTCTCAACTTTTTGGGCCCTCCTTTCCTAAGGTGACTGGTAGAACACTTCTTATATTTTTTATTATAATAGAGCAACTGGGCTTCAGGAAATAATTATAAACTGCATGAAAGAACAGAGGGTTACTATGGTTGTGTCTGCCTTACCTGCAAGACAGCTACCCACTACTTATTTTGAATGGAAAAGCTAAACATAGGATATATAATAAGCATTTAATAAATATTAGTGGATCATCGATTCTTTCATGGCTAATCAGGGGCCCTGGAGTTGTCCTTACAGTTAATCATGTTTGGTGTTCAGCTCATGTTCAATATTTCCCAACCTGTCTTAACCGTATTTTGGGAGGACGAGTGGTGGAAAATCTCCTTCAAGTATGCTGTAGACTCTGGCACCTCATAGGCCAGGCCGTTTGGGTTTCTTCAAACACCAAGAACAGCAAAAGCAAGAAATATTTCTGTACGGTCACCATTTTCAGATTTACCCCCGTTCCCGGTTTTTCTTAAAATGCCAACATTGGAAGTTAAGAAACACATTTAATGAATCCATGGAAACCAATAAAAGCAATTGTAGAGCTTTGTGCTATGCTGGAGATACACAGTTTATTAGGACGGTCATGAGGAAGCTCCTCAATTTGGGGAAAGATTCCACCCAAGACTGGAAACAGAATTCCCAAGCACCCAAAGCAAGAAGCACTTTAGCATGAAAGAATCAAGCAGCCTTGGGAAGCCCCTGGACATCCACCTGGTCAAACCGTGGTTTGACTGCGTGGTGACGGGAAGTGTCTTGTTGCGTTCCTGGTAAAGGCAGTGGGTGAGGTCAGTGATTCTGCCATCCGTGTTCCAGCGTCTAAGGCAGAGGACATCAGCTGCAGGTGCGGTGCCAGGTGAAAGCTAGAGGTCCAGGGTTGGTTCTTCCCACGACAGGCCCTACACGAAGCCGGCAGGGTCAGCAGCCGCTGGGGAGGCAGGGGTCGCAGCAGCGCTGGGTGAAGGTGGTGAGGTTGATGGTCTCCAGGCCCGGGGTTGGCTGGCAGGAGTTGAGCAGGAAGCAGGTGGGCACACAGGGCTGGGGAATGTGGCAGGGTGGGGGACAGTTGTCGCAGCAGGTGGGCTCCAGTTGCCAGACAGTGTGTGGGCAGGTGCTGGGCAGGCAGACCCCGCAGCGGCAGGACTTGTCTGCGGAGCAGATGGTGGTGGCGGGGCCAGAGGGGACACTGCAGCCGCGGGTGATGCAGCAAGCCATGGTGTGTGCCGGGAGCCTGGCTAGCTCTGGTTTTCAAGAAAGAAGAAGGTTCTGAGGTTCAAATGCCTCCTTCTCTTGCTCCTGGGCTTTTATGCACAGTAGCCCAGTGGGTTGGACCCAATCAGAATCTTCTTTCCTGGTTCTTGTTTATGTTACTGCCTCCATTACCTTTAATTGCTCTGACATCTAGATGCCCATAAAGAGTCTCTATTTCCCTAATTATCTTTTATTTGAGTTCATTGCTAAATCTGAAGTGATTACTCTTGCTGTTTGTCACAGGAGCGCAAGCTTTATGGGGTTATCACAAAGGCTTCTGCCATTAGAATTCCAGCGCCAGCCCTGCCAGAAGCCTGGATTGTTAGCCCCCTGCAGTGCTCCCGTCTCCTCCCTGGTGTGTCTGGTTTTCATGCTCTTCCCCTTGGCACCAATTGTCCCCATGAGGTGTTCTTGCTTTGAAGAGCTGAACTTAATTTTTGTGATTTTTTTTCATCTTTGAGGCTTTTGGAGGTTGATATTGCACTCATGTGGAGAAATAGGTCTATGAGAAATGTGGGCAAACTTAAAACAGATCTGTGATACTCATATTATATATTCATTAAAATGTTGGATGATATAGAAAAGCATAAAGGCAAATCATTCATTACCTCATCAATAGAAATTACCTAGTAATATTTTATAGATGTACATACACAGAATCACTTTTGCATATTGTGTTGAGTGTCTTTGTTACATTACTGGAATCACATTGTATTGTGGGCTCTATAACTTACATTTCACTTAGACATGTACATTTTCCTTATATTCTTAGGTATAGTAGATGATGTTGTTTTAAATTTTTCCTAATATTCTTCAGACAATTACATTTCTAAGTTACTTGAAATTTCCATATTATGAAGCAGTTAGGTTATTTTTCTCTATGATAATTGTGGCAAAGGAGAGGAACTATATATAAATCTTTGTGCACATTTCTGATTATTTCAGAAGCAGAAATAATTATCAGGTAGAATTATAAGAGAAGATGCCAATTATCAGCATTCTTCAGGCTTTGATAATCGTTGCCGTATAGCTCTGTGGAAGGATTCTATTTCCCTGTTTTCTACTCATTCCATCAGCTGAGTTTGACCAAGAATTCCCACTTCCTCATAACTTTTATGGGTATTTTAAAAGTGTTATTTGATGAGCAAAAATGAAATTTCCTCATTTTATTGTGTTTCATAAATAGATGAAAACATTCTTGTGTTTATCTTTCTACTGAGAATTAGCTTACTTCATTTCCTGTGCTAGTAATTATAGGCAAGTTGACTTTTCTTTCTTTATTTACTTACTTATTTTTGGCCTAAGTTCATATACACTACATGAAAGAATAACTTAAACCCACAATGCAAAAATTCAAGCAAAATTGCTACCAGTGGAAAGCGAACTATGGGTCTGAGATAGATTATTATGCTAACTTTTATTTCACTCCTGTCCCCACCACTGTATTGTATTTTCTACCCAAATCGAGTATATCTGTGGTAGAAAAGACCCATGTCCTATTTCCAGGCTATGGTTTACACGCAGGCACAATTCAGGGTTCAGAGTGAGCGCTAGTGGGTTCCTGGCCGTATCACCTTTCCACCTGAAGTCATTTCCCCTTAGCAGGGGAGGACTCACTCACCCTTCAAGCCCTGTTCTTCACATTCTCCTCCACCTCCTCCTCTACGTCCATCAGTGCGTGATGGGGAGCATATGTATTTGTTTGGGGAATGGAGAAGTAGATAAAGGAGACCCTATAAGGAGTTGGAGAGCTCTTTCCTGGTCCTGGTACTGCTAGAGACCTCTCTTGTTAGGGGAACAATTCACTTTTTAGAATTTTGTTTTTCTTTTCTGTAAAACAAGGGTAATAATGTCTACATTCCTCCTCTGCGAAGACTATTGGAAGAGTCGCATGAGGTAAAAAGCAGTGAAGTCCATAGACAACCATAAAGAACTACCTAAAGATAAATTATTATCATCATCAAAGTGAGTTGTAGATCAATTTCAAGGCAAAGTAAAGACCAAAGAAACAGTCAAAAGCAAAAGGTGAAATTTGGAGCTGCCAGTAAGAGAGCAACTTTATGAGAAATAGCAAAGATTAATCTCAAAAGCTTGTAATGAATGGACAAGTATTCAAATATACAAGAAGAGAAGGTGGTGGTATGTGAATTAATAAATTAAAAATCTGAAAAAGTTATCTGTGCCTCCCCCAGGACTTCCCCCAGATTTATCTGCATAAATATCTACCAAACTGTGTACTCTGTAATAAAGCGAGGAATTTCGGACTGTTAAATATTTCATTCAGTAGCTAAAATTCCATCTGATAGTCAGTTACTGAGCAATCGCCATGTATCAGATACTGTGACAAATGCTAGGGGTACCACAGTGGGCACAGTAGACATCCCTGCTCTGTGACCTAGTGGGAAAATTTATCAACACAGTATTATACATTGCTGCTATACTGTCTGATTGTAGGAAGGAAAGCATTAGGTGCGGGAGGGGTGGGGGGGAATCCCATGAAAACAAAAGGAAGGGAATTATCTTGGCATTGTAAAAGAAGCATAGTAAAGGGAAAATGGCTTGGAGAGGGCTACAATTAGAATTTCATGACAGAAAGGTATCAGTTTCTTACTCAGAATTCACTGGTCCTTAGGGCTCTCCACAAAAGGTTAAAAGAATTGCTATTTGTGTAGAGCATCCTGCTTCTGTAATTAAGATTTAAGATTGTGGAACAGAAACCCTTGTAAAGCAGCAGGTGTGGGGCGGGTTTAATCTCATCCTTTCTATTGACAAGATTGCTAGGACTCTACTAGTCCTCTACTATATTTTCTCTTCAGTGGACTTAGAGACCTGGGGCTCATCCTTTGTTTATTACTGAAGATGAAGAGTCCTAGAGCAGTGACATGCTTGTCCTCAGACGGCACAGTGACTCACTGGAATCATGACACCCCATTTGTGGTTTTTAATGGGAGTGTAAACCGTGCATCAGAGCTATGAAATCTATTTTGTCTTAAAATAAAAGATCTCTCTTTTTCCTTTGAGTAACTGCAGGAAAAATATGGCAATCCTTGTTTGAATGGTAGATTTTCAAAGTGATGAAAATCAGGACACACATGCATCCCATCCCTATCGACTTCTCGTTAGTCGATAGGGATAACGGCGGTGATGAGAATGTAAATCAGAGGAACAGTGGAAAGGAGCAGAGGCATAGTAAGACAGTCAGTCCCTGGCTTCAAACCTTTCATTGCTTTGAGACTTAAGTTGAAGCGCTCTGCTTTGGAGAGTCTGCACCTCCAGGCTTTGCATTTCTCCCATTCACCCCGTCCTTCCCAGCACCCTCCGGTAGCTCCCCTCACCCTTGTGACTTGCTAAGCTGGTGCTCCTGCTCCTCCTCCTGCCCGTTCATCCTTGAGGACCTCTTCTGGAGAGCAAAGGGGCTCCCCTGGTCCTGCCACGCTGCTGCTGGGTCCACTTCCTCCTCCAACATGCGGGCCTAGCTGCCTCTCCATCCTCAGCCAGTGGGGATCATCTGCTGTAGTTCTGCACATGTGAAATTAACACACATGTGTCATGATTACGATAACGTGCCTATCTCTTTCCCTGGATTTGGGGGAAGTTTGAGGGTGCTTTAGGTAAAAGATTTCTTTTGCAAAATTTTAATGAATTTCTTAGTATGTGCCTGCTGCCCAGAAGAGTGATATTCATTTTGTGGGAACTGGTACAGCCATGTAACGTATATCCTGGTTGTTTTCAGTCTCTTTACTCCCTCCTCTTCCCTTCCTATCCCCCATAATAGCATTTCTTTTTATTTATCCCTCTAGATGGAAGATGGTGCCAGGCATCGGGGAAACACTCAAGAGATGTTGACCAAATGAGCAAATGTACTAAATATCTCAGCAACAGCATCCTAGGAGTGTTCGAGCTAGAACTCTGTTCATTATAAGTCTGACGCTTAGGAAGCCTGTGAGAAATATTCTAGGAAGTCTCTTTTCAGAGAGACAGCCAGGTTCTTCAAGGACACTCAAAAACATATTTGCCTAAAAGCGTTTGTTTTTTCTCTTTCTTCCCTACCTTTTCCCACCCCACGCACATCTCCCAACTTTATCTCTGTTTTTTTCCGTGTGTTTCCGTGAATGTACTACATGCATGTGTGCATGTGTATTGCATAGAAAACATCGCATGCGAATCCTCCGTAGACTCAGAAAAGCATAGTTTGCTGAGATAAAGTTGAGCAGAGTGATAAAGTTAACTGATGTAGTAGGTCACATTTAATCAATACTTCGGCTCTGGCTCTCAGGCAGTCACCTGATGGTATCAAATTCTATAGCAGGAGTCCAAGGTCAGCCTCAACTACATAGCAGGACTGTGCCTCAAAAACGAAAACCAAAACAAAACAAAAAGCCTTATGACTTTGAGAATCTTCAATCTCCATTTTTCTCATCTACTGATGCTATTTTGAGGGTTACATGAATGAACACACATGATTCACCTAGAAAAAATTAGGTAAATGTACACTGGCTCATTCCAGCAAGGTATTTGTCTGAGGAAGAGGAGAAACAGAAGGTGAACATGAAAGAACCAATGTTAGCAAGCTGTGCTAGTGAGTTTTCCTGGTTCCTTAATGAACTTAAAAATTATTTTCATCTGTTTTTTAAATAGAAATATGTCCCAAACTCTAACATAAACAAAGAACACGTGTGCCCAGAGAAATAAAGTTTATTAGAAAACCCATCGGCAGGTTCCTTTGCTTTTATGAAACTGTTGAGTATGGGAAATAAGATCCAGGAAGCAACATAACCAAGAAGGTCTTGAAAGTCTGAAGTCTTAGAGGTTTTCATAGCATTTTGATAATGGAAGACTTGCACCTGCTCAAATGAACCAAATTGTTAGTCAAATAACCAGAGAGGAATTTCTTGGCTTTCTCTCCATTAGAGGCAAAGGTAGGGTTCCCGCCTCTGGGCCATCTGTTAATCTTCTGTGGCAGGTGAATACTGACTAGAGATCTGCCGGGGTCACCATGTTGGGCCAGTCACATGTCAGCAGCCGCTGGGGAGGCAGGGGTCGCAGCAGCGCTGGGTGAAGGTGGTGAGGTTGATGGTCTCCAGGCCCGGGGTTGGCTGGCAGGAGTTGAGCAGGAAGCAGGTGGGCACACAGGGCTGGGGAATGTGGCAGGGTGGGGGACAGTTGTCGCAGCAGGTGGGCTCCAGTTGCCAGACAGTGTGTGGGCAGGTGCTGGGCAGGCAGACCCCGCAGCGGCAGGACTTGTCTGCGGAGCAGATGGTGGTGGCGGGGCCAGAGGGGACACTGCAGCCGCGGGTGATGCAGCAAGCCATGGTGTCTGCTGGGAGCCTGGCTAGCTCTGGCTTTCAAGAAAGAAGAGGGTTCTGAGGTTCAAATGCCTCCTTCTCTCACTCCTGGGCTTTTATACACGCAGCCCAGTGGGTTGGGTCCAACCGGAGGGCTTTCCACGCTTGGCTTTGTTTATGACATTCTTTTCCCTTAAGATTTTGTAATCAGTTTGGAATTTTCCTGCCTATTTAGAGCTGCAACCCTTATTAAAGCAAGCAAGTTTTTGACTCACTGACCTGTTATTTTTGTCACGAGATCATCATATTTTATCATCACAGGATTCTGCTGTGCCCACCCTTGCATGGACTCTGGTGATCAACCAAGTGACTTCTGCTGTGGTTTTACAGCTAAGGTCTTCTTGCTTCCTCCTCCTTAGTTTTAAACAGTAGGCACAGCATGATGTGATGGGCAGTAGCTAATCTGAGAAATGGTTAATTAGTTTTTAACTCACTGAAGTCAGCGAGGCTAGGGACACTCAAAGATTATGTTTCATTTGATTACTCTGTGCATCTCAAATGTATTAGTCTTATTTCCTGATGATATAATTCCGATTCTAGAGAGCAAGGAAGGTGACAGAATGGTGTCAGATTACAGTCGTTCATTATTTTAAGTAAATCAATAGTGAGTTTCTAAAAATTGTTTTATTCTGTTTCTATAGGGTCAGCATTTTTAAAGTTATACCAACCTTGCAGTGAGTAAAAGTTATTGGAGCAAAGATGCACCCAGTTGCAATCCTGTAATAAATGCACCATTCAAAGAAAACCACCTCGGTCTTCCTTTTCCCTTAAGCAATGCATAGACTTTAACATAAGAGGAAACTGACCCAAAAAGAAAAATCCCAGATTCTCAGATGGCAGTGGGTTTTGGAAGCAGAACTTATCTAACGTGGTTCAGAGCTGTGGCACTCCTGTGGGTCATTTTGCATGCTCTCCCCTGTCAGTGTGTGTGTTTGCTTTTATCTCTTGGGTCTTCTTCAGTGGTTGCTGATTGCTCTGAGAAATGCCGGGTGCAGCATCCTTCGCTTCAGTTGGTCCTAATTTGCCCTCCCAAAGGTTGGCAGGTGAAGCTGTCGCACGGGACAATCTCCAGTCCACGCTTCTGACCTCTTCACACACTTCCTCAGCACAAAACTGCTTGGCTGGTGGAATTCGACTTCCATGCCCTGCTAAATGGCAGGTGACTACTGAATAAATGAGAAGTGTGGCTTCCTTGCTGAGTTGCTCTGGGGAGGATGCCACCAAAAACCAATGCAATTTTAAAAGAAGAGAAAAAAATGACTGGAGTGTGTGTGAGAAAAGCCCATGAGCAGAGTGAGTTCGGTTTGGGCTGAAATATTGATAGGCACTGTAAAGGGAACCAGGTAAAGCTGATAGGAAAGCAAAGCTTCCCGAGTACTTGCCACCCCTGTGTCCTCCCTGTAAGGTTTCTTGGGCTCGAAGTGTCCTTCTGTGACTGATTCTTTGTTTCTCAGTCCTGCTTGTTCCTCCAGTCTCTGCTCAAATATCTCTATAAAGAGATTCTTCCAGATTCTTTCAGATGTTCCCTTTTCTCCTCCGCCCTGCAGAATGGGCTCACTGCCCTTCCATGCAGATGATGGTCTCACTTACCTTTGGCTTTCTCTCTCCAATACAAGATCCTGGGAAGTGGGAATTTTATCTTAACCTTGTCTCTTTCAGGCACCTGGGACTAGGCCTGGAACTCACTAGGCACATTTGCTGGATATTTAATGAACTGGCTTAAATTACAGATTAGAACGTATGCTGGGGTTTTAACTAACTTCCAGCTCCCCTTCTCTGAAAGGAAATGGGAATTTATGTAAATAGGCAGGAAAGACTTAAAACTAAAGGTAGCTTCTGACCTTGGAACTTTAAACAATTCTTACTTAGAGTGAATGCATTTTATTACACGGGCAGGCCCCCAGATGTCTACGTGCCCCTGGGAGACGTCCTCTGGGCTGTGAGATGTACAATGGTGATGTCAGAAGGCATCATTCCGCTGGACCTGTCTGTGGCTTCACGATGCCTGTGTCAGGAGTTCTTGGTCAATGAGAGCATTAAACATGGAGACGGCACTGTCTGGGGAGTGGTGCTGTTTATTGACTTTTATAGCACGGGCCTTCTGATGGCATCCTTTGCCAGTTCTTTGGAATCGCTGTTCAAAACAAGGAAGGAGGATGCCTGGCAGACCGAAGGCTCAGAGCTGAGACGGCGTCCAGGCACCCAGTGGAAGGACATCTGCTAAGTACCCTTCCTGACGACGGGAGGTCCCCGGGGCCACATGGGCAAGCTCTTGGCAATGCCAGTGGCCAGCGGCAAGGAGGTTCCCACTCACAGGACTAGACACAGGTGGTGACAGAGACCCCCGTCAGGTTCGGGGTGGGGCTGCACTTCCTGAGCAGCCAGCAGGATGACACGTAGGTGTCAGGCACACAGCAGGGTGGGGGACAGGGGTCACAGCAGGCGGGCTGAAGGAGGCTGATCCTGTGCGGGCAGGTGCTGGGCAGGCAGAGCTCACGTGGGCCGCAGATGTCAGAGGAGCAGAGGCTGATGGCAGGGCCAGTGCGGACAGGGCAGCACCGATGGAGCCGGGTGTCAGAGCAAGCCATGGTGACACTCTTCAGGCGGAGGCTTTGTTGCCAGAAGTGGTTTTTTCCTCTAGGGAGCTGTCCTCGGTGGGTCTTTTATACCTGCCTGTTTTGAAGAACATGGCTTCCGTCCTCCAGGACATTTCCTTGTTTGTGTAATCCCGTGCAAATAACACATTGACTTCTTGTATCTGTCTTGAGATAGGCTCCCTTCATTTCTTTGATTGCGTTGTGACATCCAGATGCTTCCTGCTGCCGTTTCCAGATGGCGCCTGGGATGCATAAACACCCCCGTACCTACCTTGCTTCTCCTCTTTTCTACCAACCGGAACTTCTTCCAAGTGATCACGGTTAGTGCAGAGAATCAAGATCGATGTTCCCGAGAGCTAAGCAATGATGCTTTTTGGATTAGTATCCTGCATGCATCTGGGGGACGGGAACGCATGTGGGGCCTCTTTCTACCAGATACGTGCCTGTATTTTCTACGGGCTGGAGGGAATGAGTGAAGAATGAAGCTATGGGATGCACTCTTACCTGGGAAGGGCAGAGTCTGCTGGGTGCTTTCCGACATCTCCATACTACATTATTTAAATATGCAATTGTAAATAAATAGGAATGAGGCCTCAGACTTAAAAAGGACTGCTGGTTTAACCCATAAATTGGAGCAGATACAGCCCCAAGTTCAGGAGATGACATGTGATCAGAAGAGTGAGCTCCCATCTCTTTGCAAAGCAGCAAGATTATTTATAGAAAAACGAAATTGCTGACCCATGTGTTCCAATTTTTCAAAAGCATTCCCAAGCTGATGGTGACCCACCTGTCAGACAGACAGACTGATAGACAGACAGGCAGGCAGACATCTTTCCAAAATTCCTTTCACCTTAATTCTGCATTGTTGGCAACGTATTATGGCTAAAGTTATCATGCAACTGTGGTACAGAGAACCAATCAGCTGAGACATGCATTATTATGTATTTATTGAAGCTTTCATTATTCTGAAAAGTGTGGTGGAGACACAGAAATAGAAGACATGGTCCTTTGTTTACCAGGAGTGCGTGGTCTGGGGTTGATGGAAGAGGCTGGGAACCCCTGTGCACCTGATTCTGACAATGTATAATTAAGTCCTAGGTAAGGAAACCGAGGGAGTTCGGGAGCTCCTTTTGGATTTTAATTATAACTTAGGATTGTAAGGACGGTGTCAGGCTACCTCACCTGTAGGAACTTCGGCTTTCTCAACAACAAATTTGGGGGAAATAACGATCTGTTACAGCCTTCCTGCAAGGGCTAAGAAAATAGGAGGCAAGAATGACGTGTGTAATCCACTGCTGATATAAATGAAGCCAGCACTGCACAAGTCACCATGTGTGGCGTGGAAGAGAGACGCAGCACCAGGAAGGCTGCCTGTGGTCACCATGCAGATTCCCAGGAAAGGAAATGCTAGGGAATGGGGCTCAAACGGCCAAGAAAGCTTTGGGGATTTGGATTAAGCTGATTTCAATCAGAAATGCTTATAAAACACTTAAGCGTGTTTTGGGCAAGAAAAACAGTGACCACTTGGATCATGCTGTCCTAGCCCTGCCCCTGACGGCGCTGGAAGCCCACAGCTACCCATAGCCCTTGCATTATTTTTTGGTACACATGCCAGTTCTCTTTATCAGATGGAGCTCCCTGCAAAATAGGGCCATTCTCTTGTTCGCGTGGCATCTCGAGTACCTGGTACAGTGCTTGGAATTTGGGGTGGAATCCAGAGGCTGGAATCCATGGGATAAATGTACAAAAGACAGTTAAGAAAGCAATGAAAGCCAGCATTTATCACAGCCATCTCGCGTTTACTCAGGGAATTATGCAAACATGATAAACTTCACACCAGGTATTTTAGCAGAGAGCTTTAATAGAGGGCATTATAGCTTAACCCCCTAAGTACTGGAGGACAGATAACAAAATAGACTGGAAGGAGCTACCAGCTCTCCGGTTGGAGGATGAAGAGAGAGAGGGTTAGGTTTATTTGAACGGAGAAGCTTGGAAATGTGGGCTCTGGCCTCTAGCTGCTGCCCAGAGTGGAGGCCCTGTAGGGTCAGAGCTTGCGTCTCTGCAGGGATGCCTCATTTCTTTGTTGGTGCTGGTGTTTCTGAGGCACAGTGATCCTTCCCTCCTCTCTCCTTCCCTCCCCTTCTCTTCTCCTCTTTTCCCTCCCTCTTTCCTTCCTTCCTTCCTTCCTTCCTTCCTTCCTTCCTGTCTGAAGAACCTGGAGACTACAACCTACATTGCTGCCAAATAAAATATTGGTTGCTAGGGCAACAGGAACCTCTCCCCTCCCCCAATTTGCTGTCTCCTTCTAGCGCCCTCTATGGGTGGCACCTTACAGAAAACCAGCCAGAGCAAAACCAGGGAGTCCCTGCCCCAGTACCACAAAGCAGTGTGCAAAGGTGGGTGTGGAGGTTGTGCTAAGGGCCGCATGGATTCCAATTAATTTCATCTTCACCCCAGTTCTATGAGACAGGAACTGCTTTTCATCTTGTTTAACAGTTGGCCTTGTAATTAATAAGTGAGAGGTGCATTTGAATGGAAGACAGTCTCTCTGAGGCTGTGACATGGAATGAGCCCCCACCATTCTGTAGAAGGCTGGTTGTGAGTGGGGCACTGGCTGTGTTACCTCAAGGTCAGCAGCAGGTGAGATTCACCTGGACACTATGGGCAGAGGGAAAGGCACAGATATTTGAGGCAAGGCCCAGTGGGAGGTCAGCGAGGACCAGTCTGCAGTCAACAAGGACAGAGAGGAAGTCTCAGGGCGCAGGTACAGCAGGGCTTGAAGGAAAAGGGAAATTCTTTGGTTTTCTACCTGGGGCTAGGATTGAAATTCACCAGGAAACCTGGAAGTATGCTTGAGTTGCCCCACATTCTGGCTTCAGCTCCGGGTGTAGGACCCAGCTGACACTGCTGACCTGGCAGGTCAGGAGCAAAGCCTGACTGGAGATGGAAACACGGTTCGCCCTCCTTGTGAGAAATGGAAATATTTTTCAATCTTAGTGCCCTCCGCCATCTGCCCACTCACCTCTTGGGGAACTGGTACCTATCTGTCTCACGTCTCCATCATTCTCTTCCACACCTCTTCCCTCTTCTCCTTTTACAAACATTAATAGATCCCTACTAAGTTTGCTGTGTAGATCCATTTAGTCTGACACTACAGCCGCTCCAGAGCCAGCTGTCACTGCGTCCGTGGGAGCAAACATCCAGTTCAGAGGGAGCGAGGCGGAGAGGCCTGTAGTGACAGGGATGTACCCTGGAATAAAAGCAGCCAGGGGCCTCCGTTTCACCGCAGCCTATGCTGTCTGGAGAGGAGACCGGGGCTTCGGTGTGACGGGAGGAGCAGGGGTAGGTTTTGGGGCAGTTTTAAGTTTCATTCCTCCTCTGTTACTTACATTAACTTAGTCTTTCCCAGCCTCCATTTCTTCACCTGTAAACGAGCCCATGATGGCGGTCACCGCTTACGAGCTTTAGTCAGGGGGACATGGCACCCCATGTCACACACAGGGAGCCTGCTCCACTGAGCTCTGGGAGATGCGCACCCCATGCTGTCCACCCCCGGGAGGCGGTGGAAATAGCCCCCTCAGTGGCACAGAGTGCTGGCTGCCAAGCGCTTCTGGTGGACCCAGGGCCTCGCAGGTTCAGCTGAAGGACTTCAGGGGTGACCTGGTCAGCCTGCCCGTGCCACTGGCTTGAGACTTAAGATTCAGAGGACTTAGTGGTTTTCCCAGGGTCAGAGGCTGTGTGAGGCAGATCCAGGGCTGAAATACACATGGCCTGGTCTCCTGGAGGGGCTGTCTAACCAGCCCAGGGTGGCCGGTATTAATAATATGATGGTATTACGAGAGTGGTTGTGGGCTACTTGAAGTTATTTTCAATACTAAAAATAAAGACTAGAGATTTATCCCTTGTAAGCTTGACACGGGAATGATGATTATCTTATATCAATGAGAAAATCCCGATTTTCCATTGATTCTTATAAACATATTTATGGATAAAACTGAAAGAACTAATGCATTTTTATTTTCTGAGAAGCTGAAGCAGAAGGGTTGCAAGTTTAAACCCAGCTTGGGCAAATTAGTGAGACTGCGTCTCAAAACAGAAAATAAAAATAATGGGCTGGGGGAGCCGCTCAGCACGAATTCTTAAAGTTCTCTTCTCCTTCTTCCTCCCCTCCTCCTCTCCCTCCCTCTTTCCCTCCTCTCTCCCCCTCCCCCTTTCCCTCTCCCTCCTCTTCCCCTCCCCTTTCTCTCCCCCTCTCCTCCCCCTCCCTATCCCCCCTCTCTCCACCTCTCCTTCCTCCCTACCTCATATTGGAGGTTACTTCCAGTGTCTCACACCTGCTAAGCAAACTCTCTGTCACTGAATGGTGTCCCCTGCACTTTTAAAAAATGTTTATTTTGAGACAGAGTCTCATCACGTTGTCCAGGCTGGCCTTGAATTTGGATCCTCCTGTCTCAGCCTCCAGAGTAATTCAGATTCCAGGTGTATACCACCACGCTCAGTCACAAGTGCATAGTTCAAGAAACAAAAAAGCTACCTTTGGAAGCAAGGAGTTAAAAAGCCACTCGTAGAAATAGCGAATCTCGCATGGGATGGGGGCTGAGGTCAGATGGTGCCTGCTGTAAGGGCCTTGGCTCTTACCATAACCCTCAGATAAAAGCAGGGAAGAGAACAGTAGCAAGGAGACTGACGGTGTGGAAACCAGGCACAGGTGGGAAGCTACTACATTTATGAGAAAACTGAGATTGAAATCCAGAGTTTCCCCCAGTCCCAGAGCAAGCACAAAAATACATAACCAGATAGTGCTCTGCCTGCAAAGAGCTTACTGCCCGTGGGCTTTTCCAGGACAACCAAAGGGCTGACTTAGCAATTCCAGAAATGTTTTTTTCCTAAGAGGAACAGTATGTTGGGGCTCTTAGAATCATATGACTATCTTGGTACATAGAAAATACTGTACTGTGGTCTGATTACTTAAGAACGTCTCAATGACATGATAAAAATACATTTTGCTTGGCTTAGTAAACCTGTGTGCATGGTTAGGACCATTGCAACCAACACAAGCTCATTGAAGAGGGCCAGGCTTACTCACTGAATGCTAATATTCATTAAAATGGACTTTACTGGAAGATGGCACATCCAAGGGGAGATGGACGTACATGGAGAAGGCTTGAATTTAAAAAATTTCATTGAAAAGCAAGTTTGGTGCTAGTGCCTGCTTGCTTCCTCTCTTACACGGACTCTTTTTGTTGATGCCTTGTGCTCGGAGTAACCGCTCTGAACGTAATAACACGCAGCGTGTTAAGTGTTATTTGTTTCTGTTTTGTTATAAACTTTTTTCATAAAAGTTTTACTATAGGAAAAGATGGGTTCCCATTCATTTCCCTCAAAATCCTCTCCAGCACTTTGCCTGCTTCTGGAAGTGTCTTTCCTTTCCCGAATGTCTTTACAAGGTAGGTTAAAAAATACAGGGAAGGCTGCTCCTCGGTGACATCTGTGGACAGGCGGGCATCTCGGGGTGTCCTCACCTACTTAGTCACCATATGGCCCCATGGGACTTCTGATTCATCCCCAAAGTCAGAATGACCATAAAAGGGGAATGTTTTTGGTGGATTTGGGACTTGGAGACAGCTGTGACAGAACAGGGCACTTGGAGAAACGCTTCAGAGAGTAGCTGGAGGCGAAGAGGAGGATTTTGAGAGGCATCCATGGCAAAGGCACTTCTCTTGCAATATATTTTAAAATTTAAACTCAGGGTATTTCTCTGTCACTGTTTACCTACCTAACATCTGCGCGTCTACCTCCTTCTGCCTTTGTTGCATCTGGAATTCTATTGGCAACTCTAAGGAAGTAAAAAGTACCTCATGCCTGTGCCATGATCCATTTGCTCAGTCTATTAAAAGAAAGAAGAGTCAGTGTTGTGATCGTTGTAAACTAAAATTAAATATTAAAAACTCACTAAGGTTTAGAGTCTAGCTCAGTTCATGGCACAGCAGATGCTTTCAAAAAAACTTTCCTAAATTAAAAAAATCCTAAAAAGTGATCTCTGGAGTTTCTCAATCTTAAGCCTTTTCCAAAGATCCAGTCTGTAATGTTTCGATAAATCCCATCACGACGGCCCTCCCACTGGGGGACCCTGGAGTAGGAGGATGATCTGCCGTGCAGGCAGAGGTAGGTATTTTTCTTCCACTGAGAGGGAAACACAGAAAGAAACCATCACAAGACCATATTTGCTAAGCCAGAGTGAAGTTTATTGATAAGTAGTCCGAATGGTTATTTCTCAAAGAGCAGCAGAACAGCCTAAAAGGTAGGAGGTCCCCTGTCCCCAGAGGGCAGGGCATTGGGAGGTCCAGTGGATTCACGGACAGCTGGCCCTAGACATTGGACTGAGTCAGCTCCGGGGTACAAAGCAGCATGAGCACGAAGCCAGGTTACAGGGAGGACCTCGAGCAGCCTGGTCCTGGTCAAGGAGTGGCTGCTTAGCAGCAGGGCTCACAGGGATTCTGACAGCCAGGCTGGACAAAGGTCGTCACATCAATCCCGCTGATGCCGGGAGTTGGGTGGCAGGAGCTGAGCAGCCAGCAGCTGGGCACATAGACCTCAGGCTGGCAGCAGGGAGGGGGGCAGGGGTCGCAGCAGGTGGGCTGCAGGAGGCTGATCTCATGTGGGCAGGTGCTGGGCAGGCAGACCCCACAGCGGCAGGACTTGTCTGAGGAGCAGATGGTGGTGGCGGGGCCGGAGGGGACACTGCAGCCGCGGGTGATGCAGCAAGCCATGGCGCTGGGAGCTGGGTTTGTGTGAGGCTGAGAGGAGAAGTCTTGGTGATTCGATGGCCTTCCCTTCTGCCCTGGCTCTTATATACCCACCTCGGGCGTCGGCCCATTACCAAGATGATTTTCCCCAGCGTTGGGTGCACAGTTGTCTCCATAAAATCCATCTAATTACTTAAGTGTTTATTACCTCAGACACTCCCTACCTCATAAAAGGGATTTAGGTTGTTTTCAAGTCAAATGAGGACTCCTCATGCTGGCCAGGTGTGACTGTCTTCAAAGGACAGGGTCATTATCTCCTAATCAGGACGCCATTGAGGATGCCTTGGTATGTGGCCGCTGCCACTCCTTCCTGTTCTTTTGTTTCCTTTCCAGAGGAAGGAGGGGAGAAGTTGGCTTTTTCATGGAGACTCTGGACTCCAAAACTGTCCCTGATCCTTCCCTGCTGGCTGGGAAGGTGGAAAAGGGTTTTCAGTTTATTCTTCAGGATCCGAGGACTTCAGTGAGGATGACTGTGTCTGTGTGAGGAAGCGGAGCTCCATCAAGTCTGTGGTCCCCTGTCCCCTTTGCACATGCTCTGAAGGGTGGGGTGGCAGGGACACGTGGGGTAGGAGTGGGGACCTGTGTGGGGGCAGTGCCAGTGCCCTTCTGGCCCCACCTGACCATGTGGCAAAGTGGGACTCTCTCTCCAGAAGCCGCCTGGACCGGGCCAGTGAGAAAGGAGGTGGGCAGAGTGAGTCCCCGAACACCTGGAAAGAGTCTCTTAAATAGTTCGGGGAGCCCCTAAGGCTTCCTTGGGGCCTCTCAGACCCTTCAGCGTGCTAGAGTGCTCTGAGGCTGCTCAGCTAGAGACATGCATACTGGGCATTTCCCCAGACCTGCTGACCACGGGTCCTTTGGGCTTATTTTTGTAGACTGGCTTCATAGATCGGATTCTTCTGAGATGTGATTCCAGAGATTTCCTAATCCCTTACAAGTTCCATTATCCCAGAGGAATGGGACACTTCCACATTACCTCTAAACCACTAAAACCTTGAAAATAAAAAACATCTTTTAGCATAAAACTTGATACGATGTTTTGAATCCCCATAGAGTAGGGAAACTATTAATTAAAATAGTAAAACCTTTGAACTGGCTTATTCTGGCAGATATGAAATGGCTCAAACTCTACAGTTAAGCAGAAAATTATGGAGCATCAAGGCTCAGAATCCTAAGACAGGCAAACCAACAAGACGATGGATCTAAAAGCACAGATCAGGACCTGCTTTCATTCTAGACACTTCTGTAATGGTTGGAGGTTACAGACATCTGTAAGTCCTTGCTAGGACTTACAGATGTCTTAGTTCAGGCAAAGGCTCATTGAATGAACTCTCCTTGCAAAGCAGACAGAAGTGAGCCTGTAGGTTCCTGCCCTCGAGGAGTGTAGAGGAGAAGCGACCCAGAAGGAGCTGACAGGGACCGCTGGGGGCCGGTACACTCAGGGTTCCCAGGTGCTGGATGTGGTTTAGAGGCAGGTGCAGTGAGTTTGTCTGGAAGGGGGAGCTGCTGAAAGGGGTCCTGGAGAGCAGGTGTGAAGGGGTGGAAAGGGATCCCTGCAGGCGACACAGCTGAGGGCAGCTGAGGGAACAAAGCCACGGTGCACGCTGGGCCGATTGGTGGAAGCTCGGGCTCTGGGTCCGGTGGGGGAGACCGGGAGAGGGACGGCTCAAGACAGAATCAATTAGTTACAGGTGTTTGACATAGGTGATCGACTGGATGTGCATTTGGAAGATGCTATAGGTTTGGGGGATCAGGGCTCACCATTTTCACATGCTGAGTGTGCGGAGATTACCCCCACATGAGTCCCACAGTGAGCCCAGAGGCTGGGGATGCATCCCGCTTGCTGCTGAAGAGTACTGGGTGCTGGGTCAACCAGTGGGCCCCAGGTCCCCTGTTCTCACATTCCCCCCTCACTGTGGGATGCTTCTGTGAAGACTGATTATCAGTTAGGGTCAAGGGAGGTAGGAAAGGGTGGGGCAGATTAATGGAGGTCTTGAGATAAGACCCTAAGGGAAGCTGATTTGACAGCTTATTTCTCAATCAATACTGAGCTATAACAAGGAGATAATTTGAGGCTAGGGACATGGTGGGGAAGGCACTGGGCCACCCTAGAAACTCGAGCAGACGGGTGTGACTCTGGCTTGGAGGCTCTCGTGGCTTAGTGGGAATCCAGAAGAAAACTCACCTCAGAGCACCCAGTGTGGGGGACCACTACCTGAGTACACAGGTTTCCATGATAAAGCTGATATTTTTGGTTTGGAGGTAACTGTCACCCCAATCCTCTCCTGACATGCAGCATTTATTGAGTGAACACCGGGTGCCTGGCGCTGTGGTGTTTTTCATGTGCACCTCTGCATGACTCTCTGAGGCTCAGGCTCTTCCTACATCCATTTCTCAGGTGACCAAACTGAGAACTCCCAAGTCACGAAACCGGGGAAGGAGAGCCCATCGCCCAGCAATAGTTCCCACCTAGAAATGCAGCCAGGATTCTGTGGAGCTCTGTTTTCTGCAGGGGTAGATCAGATTCACCCACTTTTCTGTGTATTCCTCTATCCCACAAAATGTGCAGTGCCGTACCAGGTGTGACGCACAGGGCACGGCACAGTTTGTACCAGGTCCTTGCTATCAAAGTGTTCAGCCCAATGGGGAAAACAGACAGTAATAAAGTGAACCCACGCCTCTACTCTGACTTCAGAGAGTGTCAGGTCCTGGTAGAAAAACAGTGTCACATCCCCGAGACAGGACGTGCGTGGTGAGTATGCCTGCCGTGGTGAGGGGGCTTTGCCAGGTGGTGGAGCCTGTGAAAGGCGGTGGCCATGAGGACAGGCGGACGGCAGGTGGCGGACCAGGCAGGATTTCCTAGGTCCTTCTACAGAGTTTAGGTGCTATTCGAAGCACACTGAGAACCCACTGATATTTATTTCAGACTGGATTTCTTTGAGTGGGAAACATCTGGAATCGTCACTACAGGTAGGCTTGTTGCTGTCAGCTCCAGCTTGCCTGCTGCGCGACGTGACCTTAGACTGTACTGCTCCCTCGCTGCCTGGCTGAAAGCAGGGAGCTGCAAGATGTGATTAGGGTCCCAAGAAAAACAACAGACTGCAGGGCTGTGGGAAGCAGGCGGGACCAGTGCGTCCTGGTGAGAGGCTGAGCTCTGAGCTGAGACGGGCGAGCGGACGGAGGTTGAAGGGTTCAGGAGACGGTTCTGAAGAGACAGGCTGCAGGCTGTGCTGACAGAGAGCCCAAGGGTCCCCTCAAGTTCTGGGACTTAGTCACAGGCCAGGGGGACCCGAGCAAAATGTTGTGGCCCAGGGCAGGGAAGAGTCTGTGGTGTGTGATGCACTCCTGTCACCCCAGTGTTGGGAGCCGCAGCCCCGAGCCCGGTCGCCTTACTTGGCGGACGTGAGGCCTGTAGGAAAGAGCAAAGCCTGAGCTAGATTACCCCTCCCATCGAGTGTGCTAAGATGGCGCTTACTTCCTGCTTGGTAAAAAACCCGCCCTGTAAGATCTCCTGCTTCACAACCCGCCCTGTAAGATAGTCTGCCTAGCAACAACTGATGTTAGCCAATCAGCCCACATCGCGCGCTTTGAACTGATTGGCCACTGTAACCCTATAAAAGTGAGTGCCTCTCCCGCCACAAGAAGAAGAAGCAGAAGAAGCACGCAAGGAGCCGCGGAGAGCGGACCGGTAGAGGCTTCGGGACAGACTGTAGGGAGAAGCACGCAAGGAGCTGCGGAGAGCGGACCGGTAGAGGCTTCGGGACAGACTGTAGGGAGAAGCACACAAGGAGCCGCGGGGAGCGGACCAACAGAGGCTTCGGCCGGGAGGATTCCCGGGGCAGGCTGTACGGAGAAGGAAAATAAAAGAAAAGGTTGTCCACTGCCAGACTTTGTTGTGTGTCCTTCCTGCCGGCCGGGAGTGACACCGACACCCCAGCACTCAGGAGGCTGAGGTAGGAGGATCATTGTGAATGTGAGAGCAGCCTGGGCTCCAAAGTGAGCTCCAGGCCAGCCTGAACTGCACAGGGAGACCCTGTCTCAAAAAAGACAAAAAGTAAAAAAAAGTCCGTGGCAAGTTATGTTTGGGACCTGCTGAGCAGGAGCGTCCCGAAGGTGTGCGGAGGAGTGGAGCCAGAACAAGGGTCCTCCGAGGACCTGGGAGGTCCCAGCTCCCAGCTGGAATCCTGCTTACTACACAGGCCATGGGCACAGAGCATGGGGATGGCTTCTATGTGCGTCCTCAGGCCTTGCCTAATGGGTGTCCCCAGGACCGAGTGGACCTCGGGCAGCTGTTGGGTGGTCACTGTGAGTCACAAGGGTGTGGCGAGGCTTCTTGCCCTGGGACACCAGAGTCCCTGAAGCCTGCTGGTGTCCTTCGCCCCGCCTTGTGAATAGGATGTCCACACTTCTTCAGGTTGGTATCCTTCAAACACCCCGGCTGCAAGGAAGAGCATGTAGTCTTCACTCCCTGAGCCGCACAGTCCCTTAAACGGCTGGAGAACTTGTTCCTGAACCACACAGAAAGGAAGAGAGGCTGGTGACCGGGGTGGGGTGGACATCAACATTCTCACCGCAGAAAATCCATCCAGGCAAAGGCTCCTGGTCTTGGGCTAAATGGCAGACTTCTGTTTTATTACTGTTTCTCCTATCTATATCAGGAAAAAAATCAGAGTTTTTCCAGTTCATGGTGATAGTCAAGCCTGACAGAGCCTCTGCCACCTTTTATCGTGCAGGGACAGTCACCCTCAGATTGAAACAGAAGCAGGGGTGCATTCTACTTGGGGCAACTCAGTGTGAAGGCTTGCATGTGTGTTCACACTGTCACACATGGATTTACACGACATCGCTGTACCACACCGGCATGATCTCTCGGTGCCAGTCACGGGGCACTTGCGGTATTGCAAGCTGTTCCCTAGCCCACTTTTGTAGACTAGAAGTGCTTTTTCTTGGGAACACATCGGTTTTCTGCTTAGTTCTCATGTGTTACTGTAGGCTACAGAGTATCCGGGTAGAGAATTATACACAGCCAAG